CTATTATCTTTATTCCATGAGGTCACTCTTGGAAATGTTAGTCTTTTGGTAAACTTTAGATGATCCAGAGATATACTGGTCTACTGACTTGTCCCAGCTGTCTGTCCCTTGGAGGCAGTAGAGTGTGATCAAAGGACACTGGGTTTGGAGTCACACTGAATCCACTTACTGGCATGAATGACTTGGGCTGAATTCCTCTGTCTCAGCTCCCTTACAGGTAAATGGAGATAATAATACCTACCTCACAGAGTTGGTATGAGAGGTAGATAATGCATGGAAAGTGCTGTACACAGTAGGCACTGAATGACTAGAGAGCTCTGTGGTGGACAGGCAGGTTGCCTGAGGAAACCCAGGCTCAGAGACCATAAGTGATATTTCTGAGGTCTCACAGCCTACTCAGTATCGGAGGCAGCATTGGAACCCAGGTCTTCCAACTCCCAGCCCATTGCTCTTTCCAATACCTCTTTTTTGGAGGAATTAGCACATTTATCCAGCACAAGATACCTGGCACTTAGAAGTTCTAAACTGTAGTCTGTTTCTCCCCGAACACGAATGAAAGCCACAAAGGTTTTTATGACCTAGCCTCAGAAGTGACATAAGATCACTTCTGCCACATTGTATTGGCCACACAGACCAACCCTGATAAAATGGGTAAGGAGACTACACAAGGGTGTGAATACCAGGTAAGGACCCTGAAGGCATTCTCAAAAGCTGGCTACCACAATCATAGCATTGTTATGAAGATAGTTTTGACATTAACAACCTTCTGAAAGGGCTTGGGGACCCCATAGGGACCATGGGCCATCCTTTGAGATAATAATTTACATAACTTATGCTACTATTTTGAAGATAACTCTTAGCTCTACCTCCCTTTTGCAGATTCATCTGTTTGTCAGATCTCACCTCAGAAACAAGCAAGCCAGAAACTCAACCTACCCAGTATTTTGCCTCTGACCATGCCAGAGCGAGTGTCCTGGATGAACAATGTAGTTCCCTTGGACAGATTTCATAGTGTCACGCGGTCATTCAAAACTTATGGATTTTTGCATCTACAGATTTCTTACATTTTCTTGAATAGTTTCAATCTGAACCACTTTTTCAGCTAATAATTCCACAGATTACCTGTATCAAGTGATAACTTCTTTTATTTGTCCTAAAAGGACTTAGCTAAGTATTCCTGAGTCAGGCTTGATTTCTACACACTAAGACTTGGCAAATACGCCCATGTACAACTCACCCAAACATCTTCCATGACTTTTGAGACATTAACCTTTGTTCTTTTTCAGAAGAGTCTTGGTATTTTTAGTGCATGATACAGTTGTGCTGTGCCCCCGTGGTCATGCAGGCTCCCCCCACTGTTTGGGTGTCCTCCTCCACTGTGTTCTCAAGACCTTGGCTAGCAGAGCTTCAGAACCTGCTTCAGCTACACTGAAGTTTATTGGGACATAACAATAGTGTTGCATTTTCCAAAGTTTGTTACAGTAACTCTGCAAGTCCAGGCGGCCACTGAGTTATTATCTGCACAGCTTCCTTCTCCCCTTCTTATAGCAGTACATCCCCTTTCCTGGCCTTTCCACCCCCATCCCCACACCCTACCCCCCAATTCCATGAAGTTTTGGTGGGGCGGCCAAAGCGATTAGTCCAGGAAAGGGTAAATATCCAGGTTGGGACCACCAGGGTCTGGAAATGTTTTCACGGAAAGCCAAAAAGGAAGGCCCTTTTGTCTCTAGAATCTAGTCAGAAAACTGGATGAAGCTGGAGCTGCCTGCACCCATGTTTCCCACGGTTGCATTCAGCAGGTGAAAATGTAGCCAAACAAGACTAACGGAGCCAAGAATAAGACAAATACAGATGAAGAAAGTTTGAGTCTCCTGCCTGAGGCTAGTTCCAGCTCTCTTTGGTATATCTCAACAAACACCAGTAGTGTTAGGTTTCTACACTTAATCTTTGAAACAGCCCTCATACAATGGACTCTGGGCCATAATTATATTGTGAGGGATCTGCTCCCTGAAGGAGCATGTGTTGAGAGAAAACAGAGGGTGGAGAACCACAGTGAAGATCTAGAAAGAGGAATGAGAAGGGGCTGGCCAGAGAAAAGACAGGCAAACCAACGAATAGCACTGCATAGAAGCTGACAGTGTAGTTTTGTGGGAAACTCATACTTGGTGGGAGTATAACCTGGTACTTTTGAGAAGGCCATTTGGCTATCCTAAGATTTGAAATGATTCTGCTGAGCCAATAATTCTACTCAAAGCAGCATTGTTTGTTGTGATAAAAAAGCTGACAATAATCTCAAATATTTGCATCACCAATAAGGGATAGGTTAAATAAATTATGAAAACATGTCCAAGTTCTATTAAGGGAAAAAGAAAGTGTATAAGACCATGCAAAGCATTTATTTGAAGACAAGGATGTTTAGTACATTTGGAGAAGCAAGCTCAGGGCACCATCCATAGGAGTCAGCGGAGACCTCTGTGGGGAGAGGAGTGTAAATATTGGAGAATTTTTACTTTCTGTTTGTATGAGTCCAGCATAATTTGAGAGATTAGTTTGTTCTGTTTCTGCTGCCATAAGAAAATGGAATGTTTCCCCTCTTTCATTATTAGTAGAACAGAACATATTTCGAGTCCCAGGTTCTCTGCCTCGGGGGTTCATTCACTCATTTGATCAACAAAAGATTGAGTGCCACGTTAGGCACTCTTCTTGGTGCTGGGCATGTAATCGCAAAACAGAATTACTACCCTCACAAATCTTATAGGATTGTTTGTGAAGGCAAATATCAGATAGTGATGAACATTATGGAGAAACCATAGAGGAAGAGAAGGGGGACAGAAAGCTGGGGGTGGAGACAATGGGTTCCTATTATAAAGTGGTCAGAGAAAGCCTCAGTTAGAAGGCAACATAAAGACCAAAGGAAGGAAGAAAGCCAGGCAGCTCTTGGGGTAAAGGTCTTCCAGGCACAGGGGACAGCAAGCATAAAGATCTTAAAGCTGGGCATGCTTGATGAGTCTGAAGCCATAAGGACTGCGTGGCTGGACTGAGCAATGAGAAATTCGCAGATGAGGACAAGGGCGGTGGGGGAGGGGGAGCCTGCATGCCTATGGCCTTGAGGCCATTGTGCCACTCTGAGAAGCCATTACAGGCTTTTGGACCAACTTAAAAAGACCACTCTAGCTGCTCAGTCAAGACTAGGGCAGAGGGGACAAGGGTGGCAGCCAGGAGACCAGTTCGAAAGTTAATGCAATGACCCACGTGGGAGAAAATGGCTTGGACTATGATGGTAGAAGTGGTTGGGTTCTACAAGTAGCTGGAAGGTAAGCCGATGGATTTGTCGGACGGGATGGAGGGCCTGAGAGAAAGTTTAGCAGAGCCTGAGTCCTGGAAGACAACCCCTTGCCAGGCCTGTTTGAGGCCTGAGCCCCCTGAGTTATCCCAGAGGCAGCATTGCCACCTGTCACTTTGACTTAGAGGAGGTGGAGAAGGACAGAACCAAGGGAGAGAGGATGGAGGCTAGGGGTTTTCTATTAGGGGACAGACCTCACACCAGACCAAGATAGGGGTGGTCATAGCCATGGGATGTCAGGGGAGACTGGATGCCTAGTGCCTTGACACACTTTGCTGGCAGGGTGGGGAACAGATTACATTTTCAGCCACCACAGTAAGAGAAGATTCATTACCAGACTTGGTTTAGAAAAACTAAGCACTGTGTCATCTGTGTCACTTCCTATAGCCATGTTTTATGGAGCAAAGACTCATTACACCTATTTTATAATGTTTCATTTTTGCTAATTTTAAAGACATATGTGCATTACTTTTATTAAACATTTTAGAAAAAAATGGTGAGATTGTCAACAGTAATCAATTATTTCACAGAGAGTCATGGAGTTCTATTACTGACAAAAAGGTAAGAAGCGGCGTTGTCAAGAAGTGGGTAGAATCCAAATGGTAAGTGATTAAAAAGGGAAAGGAGAGTATGAGAAATTGCAGCCGTGAATATGTCTCATTTGAGAAGCTTGGCAAAGGAAGGAAACAATGAATGGCAAGAACAAAGATATGCCACACAACTCTGAATAAAGTTTATTAAATAATATGTACAGCAAATGTGGTAATCCAACACATCTATTTATCAAATCAATCCACTACAATAAAGAAAAATAAATGAACAGAAAAACCTATGTCTGCATAGTACATGCTCTCAGAGTGTAATTTAAATGGCAATCCTTTGAATTAACTGGTTATAATGTTATTTTTCTTTCAGAATATATTTTTTTGTAGTAACCTATTCCAGCAATAGGACTTAATACTACTGCAGATAAATAGGACTGCAAAAAACAAAAAAACAAAAAAAACCCCGAAAAACTGTGACTGAGATTATAGTTACCTTCTCTCCCCAAAATAATGATTATTGTAAATTTCAACACTTTACAATGGCTATTTTTTTTGCTAAAAATCTTCAGGTGAGTTATTTGGAATTCCTTCATTTAAATAAAAATGCAACTTCTCTCCCCAAAATAATGATTATTGTAAATTTCAACACTTTACAATGGCTATTTTTTTGCTAAAAATCTTCAGGTGAGTTATTTGGAATTCCTTCATTTAAATAAAAATGCAAAAAACTTCATGACTTCCTTATTTTACTTCCCCTTCCATTCAAAATTTTAAAATTATTTCTCTATACAAGATAGATACATGGGCTATACAAAGTTAAATATACATATTTACACAGTCCCACTTCTTAAGCATATGATTTTTTCTCTTACTGACCCCAGAGAGACTGAAAAAGATAAGTAGTTTGGGGCTTGCCTTTACCAGGAAGGATGGCTAATATACCAAAACATGTTGCACAGGCATGCCGCCAGTTAGTTGCATTGCTATTAATAAACCTGTATAAACATTTCAGCATAAAAATAGGTACTTTATATTACTAAATGTCTGAAGACAAAAGAGCCATTGGAAACTTTTGTTCCTTGTTTTGTCATACTTAGGAAGCTGAAGTGATGCAAATTTTAACACATGACTTTATTAAAGATGGGCAAATTGGTGAGGCATACCTGGATGTCTGGAGATATACAAATGCGTGAGCCTGACTTCATATGCAAGTGTGGCTTTACAAATTGGTTTTACTTTCTAGCTGTATTTAAAGAGGTGTTCAAAATTACCTACTTAATCAAGAAGCACCCCTCAAAAACACTATTAAATAAGATCGTGTTATTAATAGCTTGCATGTAAGACAAGGAAACACAATAGCCAATACAAGAATTACATTCCAAAATGGGTGAAATGCTGCTGTGCAAAATGCATGTGCATATGCACTTTTACTATATTCCCTCAGAGACAGAGAGAGGAGGTCAAAAAAACAGTGCTCTTGGATGGTGGAGCAGACCTTCCAAAACAATAGATCTTATTGTCACTGGGCCCTAAGGAAAATCAAGAAGGCTCTTTTTACTCAGGAAGCACACCCTCTCCTCCCCTGCTCCCCAGTTCTACAGCCTTTTCCCTTGGGATTAAGGATTTGCGTTGTCCCAGCTAAAAACAAATGTCTCAGGGAAGAGGTAACACATTCCTCTTATCGGTCATTTACACTTTAGTGTGAATAAATCAGTGGCAGTTTCTTTCCTGAGAGCAAGGTTTGAAGAAAGAATAAGGAGAAAGTGAAGGTACTGTGACTGTCTGGTGCGGTGTTGGGATCCTAAGGTGGGTATCTGGGACAGCAGCTGAGGCAGAGGCACCGCAGACAGATTTTACCTACTTGTAAAGACTCCAAACTTTGGGACAATGGTCCTGGAGTCATTCTGAACTACGGCAGAGAGTAGGAGCTCTGTACACACCCCTACCATTTAGAATTGCTACTTCTATTTGTGACCTTGATATGTATTTGTGGGAAGGATGAGAGTTTGCAAACTCTGGAAAAGTTTCCAAGTATTTCCAGCCATAAACTACTCTCAAAGGTTCTTCCAGAAACCTAGTTGTTCAAAAGTGAGCTAATGGAGACAGAAATATGACAATGCTTTCTAGGATCCCTCCAGGGAAAATACATCTCTTCCTCTCTCATACCCTTCTTAGCACTTATCACAGTCTCTCTTGATTAAGTTCTTTTCTCTGTCTCCCAAATCCCCTCTGAGTTCCCAATGGGTTGTTTCTATTTTTGTCTCACAAAGGGATCTAAGAGAGAGGCCGATAAACATCTTTGAATTGGAAAGAATTCTGACTAAGCACCCCAAGTGTCACAGGAGCCTCTCTCCTTGGATCCGGCCCCCACAAAGGACAGACCTCCTGATAGCTGCTTCATAATCACAGCCACTGTATCTGCACCTCTGCTCTGAAAAGAAGCCGCATCAGGGTGTATTAGGAGTCGCAACCCTGGAGACACGGTGAGTCCCTTCTAAGCCTAGAGTGTGTCTTGCTCATCAGTGTCCCCAGCAGCCAGTATACATGGGTGTATGTTGAACGAATCACTGAACACCATTCTTGATTTTCTATGAGAATAGACCTACCAATTCCAAACTGTCCCAGCCAAACACAAGCCAGAAAAGAATGTGGCTGTACTGTGCCCTGAAAGTGACCATTTATAAAAAGCCAGTGTTATGGGAAAGGAACACACTGCAAGTGACCTCCAGAGCTGCAGGTCTTCCTTGACTCCATTATGTGAAATGCAAATATAACCTCACCTATCTGCCTGGTTACCTGCTCCCCAATTCCCATGGAATTGGAAAACCTTGTGTGCTTTTTGGTCTGAACACCACCAGCTCAGCAAATGGCAATGCTGCACAGCAGGCTGAATGCACAGGGCACCTAAGTTTTGCCTCCATCTCCCCACCCGTACTTTAGCAGGTCCAGGGAGGGATTCAGTCTTGGGCAGCTTGGGGCCTCCACCACTGTCTAGGGACAGCCTTGGTAGCCCAGCAGATCTCCAGCAGTGTGGGGGTGGGGAGGAGGTCGGCTGGCGCATGGAGGCTAGGGGAGTCAGTGGATTCTGAGGCTTGGAGTGTCTGGAAAACGTTTGGGGATCTGCTTGGTGCCTGAGGATTGCTTCAGGCTCAATGACCCCTTTGAGATGGGAGCAGGTTAAGGCTGGGACAGGAGGAGGCATTTCTGGCTAACTCTGCTCCTGGAATGTGCTCCAGGTATTACCCAAGAGGTGGAGGGGAGGAGAGGGGAAGGCTGGAGTGGCTCCCAGAAGCAGTTAAGGATGTACGCATTTGCCTCAATTCTTTTTCCTCAGCACGTGATTCAGCCCTGTCTGATACACAGTAAGCTTAGACGGTCTTGGGTTTTAAACATACTTCTCTGTCCCTCTCTTTTGCTTCTTTATCTGCTGCATTCATTTTCCTACTCAACATTCAAATAAAGACACCAGTCGTGAATTATGCTTCATCCTCCAATAAAAATAATCTTCAGTCTTCTTATAGATACAAAGGTTTTACATAGTTGCCTGGAAAAGTACCAAACTGCCTTGTCCTTCTTGAAGTACCTATAAAAAAAAAAAAACGCACAGATACATAAAATGAGAAGACTGCCCATGTGAGTTCAGAGAGCACTTAGAGATTTCTTCTCAAATATCTCTTGATAACAATCCTAGAGCTTGTAGAATTAGCATAAGGTTTTCAAAGCACTTTCTCCTGTCTTATCTCATTTAGGCTACAAAATAATGCTGGGTGGTGAGCTAGGTAGGCATTCTTAATATTCTTGTTCTTCAGATGAAGAAACTCAGCTTAATAAGTACCAGAGGTGGAATCTCAACCTACGTCTTGTGACTCTCAGTCCATTGCTCTTTATAACTCTTCTCCTTTTTGGAGACATTAGTACGTTTATCCAACACAGGAAGATACCTGGAATTTAGAATTTGTAAACTGTAGGATTTCTAAAAGCCCACTGACTATGACTATACATCAAAAGTAAATTCCTCTCAGCAGTTTGTGCCTAAGTGCCAAACTGAGTCCCTTCCCTGTCTTTGTTACTGAACTTGTGAAGGTTCCTGCTGAGCCAGGAGCATTGAGCCATCTGGGAACAAAGGCCTTCCTGGGCTGCTCCATGTGGGGGATAGATGGATCACTAATCTAGTTCCATCCCTTGGGATTCTTTCTCTAAAGCTGGGATGGCAAATATATTGCGCTCTCTCCAGCAAACATCACAATTTGATTACTGCATTGTTTTTCCCAATTGGCTTGGATGTGGCTCCAGAATACTGTGGAACACATCTCAAGCAGCCACTACCAATGGGTTGCCCAAAATGAAACTTTTAAGCTAAAAGAATGTGTTAAAGCTAGACATTTAAAACATCTAGTTGAACCCCTAGAAAGGATGGTCAAGAAGGTTGCAGAGAACTGGGATGGTAAGGCCCAGAGACGGTAAGGAACTTGCCTGTGCTCGAATACCTGGTTACCACCTTTCCTTATGGATGAGAAACATGAGTTCTGCTGGGCTATTTTATCTGTAGTTTGACTACCAGGCTACTTTTCAAAGTGACTGAGGAGTGGAAGGAAGATAATCATCCCAAAATATTTCCTTTATCCAGCTGCTGGGATGCTTCCATTAGAGAACTGGTCCCCCTTTCCACACCTCAAGTTCTCACAAAAAATGTAAACGCTTCTGGAAGAGCTTAATAGCTAATACATACTAGACCTGTGGTCTCTAATATGATAGCCACATGTGGCTACTGAGCACTGGCAATATGGCTAGTCTGAAATGAACTGTACTGTACCTGTAAAATATACATTGGATTTCAAAGACTTAGTATGAAAATAATGTAAAATATCCCACTAACAATTTTTTATATTGATTACATGCTCAAATTGATAACATTTTAATGGACTGGGTTTATAAAACATTAATTTCACTGGTTTCATTTTACTTTTTTCAGTGTGGCTTCTGGGAAATTTTAACTTTCATGCATGGCTTGCACTGTATTTCTGTTGGACTGTACTGCAACAGCGTGGTTGCTGACTTCTCAGATGACTTTCTTCTGAGCAGAACAACTAAAGGTCATGAGGACCATGGGCTTCTGCGGGCCTTGGAAGGATGGGGTAGCTTTCTACCAGGCTGGTGAGTACAAGGCAAATCTTTCTGGCTTCCCATTTATGCTGAGGCCTTGCTAGTCTCACCACCCCAGCCCTGACATTCCTTTGCTTTAGCCAAGCTTTTCCGGAGAGGTCAGGGAAGAGCAGATCTTTGGAAAGGAGATAAAGGTAAAACCATTCATATGGGGGAAATGAGGCAAAGAGTCAGTGGCTCCAAACATTACATTCATGCCTGCAGAGAAAGAACATCGGCTCAGTAAGAGATGGGCTGCCTGATTTCAAGTCCTCACTCCACCACTTTCTTCCTGGGAGATCTCTTTAGGCCTCAGTTTTTAAATCTGTTAAATGAGGGTAATTCTTTTCTTACGGGACTGTTTGTTGAAAGAACTTCAGTTATGTATATCAAGCAGTGTCTGGTTTGTAACAGAATCTCAGTAAGCATTGATCTTTCTCTCCCTTTCTATAAAGGCAAATCCTTCATTTTAATTAAGCAGGTTGTTTTAAATTGTTAGAAACCTGGAATAAAGAAGGTCTTTGGAATGTCTATACATATGGTCATTTCATGGTAGAGACCTAGGCTCAGTCAAAATTTTCTTGTACTGTTTCATAAGTTTTAAAAATAAAATTTCCCAATGTAAAACAGACATGCACAATAGAAACATAAATGAAAACCCAATAATGAATCTGACAACTGCCCTTCCACACAGTAAATGTTGGCATATTTGGTTTTTAGGTCCAACATCAGTAATAGCCACACTGTCTTGGAGCAAACATAGACTGGGTGGCCTGGCATTCCCAACAGTGTGGTACAGGAGCTGAGGAGGCTCTTCTTTCTGTGCAGACTGCTTTTTCCATGGCTCATCATCCTAGTTAATCCTTCAATACACAACTATTAAAAAAAAAAAAAAAAAGCATGAAGAGATTCTTACCCACAAACCATCCATCATCACATTTTTCCATGACATCAACGATATCTCCATCACGGAGTTCCAATTCATCATCATTCTGTGGTATATAGCTATATAATGCTTGGTAACTAAATCTACAGAGGAGAAAAATGAATATTAAGTGACTCAAACATTGACAGGATTAATGAGTTTTTAACCTCATTTCAGTTAAATCGACATTTAAGTAGTATTTCCTACTCATCAGTGGGGATAAAAATGTTTTATTGGCTATTTCTCTAATAACTTAGCATTTGGAGATATGCATTCAACACATGACAAATTAATTAAGACTGACAGGGATGGGGAACTGCAGACAAGCAAGTCATGATCAGTCCTCTTATTTAGTTTCCTTTGGTTGCCCTAGCCAAGCTTTTTTGTCTAGAGCACACCCCACTCCCACTCCCTGCCTTTAAAGTAAACCAAGCCTTTTCCTTAACAGAGGTTAATATATGTGGATTATCAAGGATAATCAGAAGTTATTTAGGCCCAGAGACATTACATTCTGGTCATACTGTACCTTGGTACTTCAAAAAGTTTGTGTAAAAATAGAATTGAAAGGTAATACGAATCTTTCCATGAACTTTTTGAAGTACATACCCTTGCTGGAGAACAGAAGGCAACTGTAAAAATAAATAAATATATAAAAAGTACATTCCAATTGCCTCACCGTTTAGCAAAATTACCTTGACTTTCCTTACATAACTAAACTCATTTCATTAACTGCTTTTAAACATGGATGTCATTTTTCTGAAAACCGTGAAACCTTTTTGCTTTTTTTCTAGTGATGTTGGGGGGCAAGATTTTTATTTATTTGCTAGTTGGCTTAAGGCATTTGGTATGTGCTGTTCGGTCAGTCCTAAAAAGAGCTGCTGAGACAGCCAGACTGACCGCTTATGGTAAAATCTATACCTGCTTTAGCAACAAGGAAAAACTTTGTTTCTATATATTCCTTCAACAAACACTTAAGGAGAACCAGCTTCACAATTCAGTTTATTCACTAGTTTGAAACACAACAGTAGCAGGCAAAACTTTGCAAATGAGCCAAATATTTACCATTTCCAGTGGATGTCAGTGAATTCTAGTGTGTGGGCAAGAGAGACTACTAACACGTAAGTGGAGTCAGTCCCAGAAATAAGAGGTTCATGCTGCTCTGCTAAAACCAAAGGGACAACTTCATTTTACATGTTTATCCAAGTTGACAGATCTGGTTGCCAGAAAGAAAGTCTCTAATGAGGAATTAAGAGATGCAGGCAGATTTCCAGTTGGTAAATGAATACATTTTTTCATGTTTCTGTATTTGCCTGCCATCTCCTATACAACTTGGATTCCTAGGGCTGGCCATCCAACACATGCCCTTGCTAACACTTTAATGCCTTGTCCCCAGAACTTCCACCTCAGCTTCTTTGCTAGCCTCAGCTCTGGGAATTAGCTCCTGATACCTGCTTCTCTGTTTTCACTCTCAGACAGTGCACACTGGCTGGAGAAAGTACCACACGCTTGCTGCTTGGGTCCCCAGTCAGCTCTGATTTTGGATGGGTCTCATACTGCTCAAGACATGTCCCACTGAGTCCTTCCCTCATCTCCACTGCCAATTCTGCTGCCCCCCTCTCAGCAGGAAGCTCTTTACTCCGCCCCCACTTCCTGAGAGGGAAGCTTGCTGGGGGCAGCATGTTAATCTTCCTCTGCTCCAGACTTACGTCTCTGTGCCTCCACTCACCTTCCTGCCTCTGTTCCCATGTGTGAGAAACGAAGGGTCCCTTCCCCTGGCCGTGTTGAACCCCTTCCCTGGGCTCTTCCTTCACTTACATCTTCTCACTTTCGACTCTGTCAGCTCCTTCTCCTCTGGTACAAACATGCTTCAGTCTCTGTACCTTAAAAGTCCTTTCCCCGTCCCTGCTATTCCCTTTATCTATATGCCCACCCCCTCCCCCTCCCCACCAAACTTCCTCATTAACCTTTTCTGGCATAGCATCCTCCACGACCTGTCTACTAACATTGCTGCATCAGAGGTCACCAGTGATTTTTCCAGTTGCCAGGAGAATGTCGGGGGTGAGCAGAGGGGATTCTCATTCCCTGCCCTTGGCCTCCCCGAGGTGGGCAGTGCTGCTGAGCAGATGCTGTCTGCTTGGTTCTGTGGAAATGAATGCTCCTAGACCCTCGCCTGCATCTCTTGCTACCTTTTCCTAGTCTCCTTTGCTGCTGTACTCCTCTTTAACTTGTCTCGTGGACAATTCCATGGTTAGAAAGCACCCACTCTGTCCTAGCTCAGGCCCTCATCACTTCTTTGCTGGATTAATATCTTCTAACTAACATCTTTGTCCCTTATATCTAAACTCCACCCTTCACTCTGTTCCCAGCGTTATCTCCCTAAAACAAAATATGATCAACATGTCCATCACTTCAAAAACCTTCAGTGGCTACCTAGTGCCTGCGGAATAAAATGCAAACTTATTCCAATTGCATTCTGGAATCTATCAGCTGGTCCCACCCTACCTCTTGAGCTTCATCTCAATCTCCTCCATGGACTATATGCTGCAGTCACACAGGCCTTCTTCAAGTTCTCTAAACACCACCTACACCAAGCCTTTGCACATGCAATCCACTCAGCTGAGAAGACCATTTTCTCCCTGTTCTAGTTCTCAAAATGCAATTTGCCTCTCAATGCTTGGTCCAAATGCCCCTTCCTCTGTCAACAGTTTTCTCCTATGTGTTTAAAACGTAGGAGGTAACCAGCAAGTTTTTTGAATGAGTAAATCAACCCTGTTTATTCATTTCTAGTCAGAATTAGCCACTCCTTTCTCTATGCTCTCACAACACTGGGACTAAAACCAGCCAGCACAGCTCTCATTTGCCCTTGTATGGTAGTTAATTCTTTACCTGTCTCTCTCTCCCAGTAGTATGTGATCTCCTTTATTTACCCACCACCTATTTCACATTGGCTGATGGGAAACAATGGCCTTAACCAGAAATCCTCAGAGAAGTCGAGAGCAATTCACTTGTTCCCTGAAACAGCTGCTCCCAGAGTCAGCCAACAACCCACTTCCTAAGGTCAACAGTACACTAAGAATATGAAAATCAAAGTTTTCCAAGTGTACTTACAAATCTTGTGAGGTTTGACTCCTGTCTGGGGTGACTCTTCGCTGCTGGGCTTGAGGTTGCTGAGAAATGATTAAAGATGATTTATTGTCAGAAGGGGATACCTTGTGATGAAAGTCAAGAGGATGAGAAACAGTGCTGCAGTAATGAACAGATTTTTCGGCAATGTTTATGATCTCATTGCAAACTGCTTCCTGTGAGGTGGCCCCGAGATATCGAGAAACCCCCATAAAACAGTCAACATGGGGATAAAAAAAAAAAGAAAGAGGAAGAGATGTAACATTCCAGATGAAGCACATAAGTCCAGGGAGAAAACAGAGTTGAAGATCCAGGTTAAAAAAAATAGATATTCCAGTAGTGGAGTGCAGGAGAAATCCAGATGTAAGCATGGAAAAACAGGTAAGATACAGAAGAATTTGGGATTTAGTATGAATATTAAAAAACAAAAAACAAAAAACAAAAAACAGGCAGCAGCATAAAAGCCTGTAATTAGTAACTGTTACAAATGGAGTAATTTCAGGATAGGAATGCAAATATGTATCCCCCAATCATGCACTAATACATTAACTTAATCCCACATGTAGGCAGAGGAGTCTCTAAACTCCTCTGCTTTTTTTTTTTGATGGGGAGGAGTTGGCCTAACATCTCACTCTACTACAATAGACACAGAATTCTTGTAGATAATGGCTCTGTGAGTTAACCAGGCATTTCTCTACTCTAGACTCTAGAAGTCAGCAAGGATTCTCTTTAGAAAAGCTACGGTCTTATTCAACAGGCATCTTACCACATAGCTCTTTTCAGATTCTGTGAGATCAGGTCCTGCTCTCAATGAATGATGAGAAGGCTGTGATCACCAAGCAAATTATAAGGGAGACATTTTAGCAGATGTCACATTGGAAAGGATTCAAAATAAAAGCATGAGCAAATACACATACCACGCCATCACACTTGGCTGACACCGGATACTCGCAGGCTATGGCCCCGAGTTTCCACAACAACACGGTAAGTGCACAGGAGAAAATGCAAATGTAGTTAGAAGCAGCATCCAGACAATGAAATGGGTAGTTGGAAACATGGCTGCAGTGAGGTAAGAATGAAGAACACAAGTCCCCGGACCGGCAGGAGGGAGACACGGAAGGGCTGTCTCAAGGAACTGGCATGTCCCTTCACAAGCCACACATTGGTGCCCTCGCTCTCAGCAAGCCTCTAGAGAAGGGCTGCTGTACCAAAACCCAGTTTCCATTATTTTGTTGACTAGTTCATAAAACTATCAGGTCTGCCATGTTTCAATACATATAAAAACTGAAAAACAGTAACACTTTTGAAAACCTCCTTGGTAATATCTGAAGTATCAAACAAGACCTTTCCCCTGGAAAAATATGCACATGACATACTCCACTGAGTTATGAAATGAGTACAGATAGCTCCTAGGGCAGAACTTGCTTCCAGAGATAGGACTGTATGTCCTGATATGTGTAGAAATGAAACTGTCACTCTTCACTCACCAAGCCGGGTACCACACGCTGACACGAAAACACAGGTGCAAGCCTGGCCAGGCAGACCTGCGTTTCAAGCGGGGCTCCCATCTATAGAGGCCAGGCCTTCCTTGGAACTATTTCCCCCAGAAAGATTCCATTTTAAGCTCTAGGAAGTCCTTCTAAATACATATTTGAAGAGCCGTCCTTGGAGAAACCCTCCAGGTAACATGCAGTAATAGCAACAGGCCACAGCTACTCTCAAGCCTTCTAGAAGGGCACTTAAAAATCTTTTGTGTATAACCCATTTGTTTCCTAGAGAGGCCCAAAGAGAGTAAGGACCCCCCTCAGGTCACACAGCAAATTAGTGGTAGACTTGTCTCCTGGCTTCATCTGTGGTCCCATTTGACCTTGTCTTTCATCCTAAGACCACTTTGTCAAGTGTGCTCACTGACTTCTTCAATAAGTCCCACAGAAAACCTGGAGACAGGCCAAGCAGGGTTTGTCATCCTGTTTTCTTTAAAAACCCAGGAAGCAGATGCTCAGAGGGGTTTAGTGCATTCCCCAACATCACACAGCTAGCGAGAGGTAAGCTGATTAGCTGCTCTTCGTACTCTACCATGTCACCCCTCCTGTTCATCTCTACTGTACATGTCCCCATCCTTTAGTATGCACTGCAGGACCAATTTCCATCCAGGCATCACTTCTAAACTCCTGTCCTTTGGGGATGCCTCTTCGAGTTCTCCAAACCCCTTCAAACTGTAATCACTCAAACTAGCCTCCTTGGACTGTGACAGGAATAAAGGAAGAAGAAGACCTGAGGGCCTTTTCATGCTCCTTTGACAATGTCTCAGGACCTTGGGCCTTTGCCAAGTGCCTGGGAGCTGACCATGGGGCTCCACTCACCACCCACCCAGTCTCTGGATCAAGGTTTCCACATAACAAAGGAAAGAAGTAGACATTTCCAAGCACCTGCTATATGGGGTTAAGAAGAATGAAACTTATTTTAGGCACCTTGAGTGGGTGAGAGCAGCAGGCAGATTTTGACTTGACAGAAGGAATCTTTCTAAAAGTGAGAGCTGCCTACCAATAGAAGGAGCTGCCTCAAGGGCCGGCCCGGTGGCGCACTCGGTAGAGTGTGGCGCTTGGGAGCATGGTGGCGCTCCCGCCGAGGGTTCGGATCCCATATAGAGACTGGTCCGCTCACTGGTTGAGCGCGGTGCGGGCGCAACACCGAGGGTTGCGATCCCATTGCCAGTTGCAGTACGGGCACGACACTGAGGGTTGCGATCCCGTTACCGGTCACAAAAAAAGACAAAAAGGAAGGAAAAAAAAAAAAAAAGAAGGAGCTGCCTCAAGAGGAAGTGAGTTGCTGGCTACAACAGCTGTTTAAGCTGAGGCTGCAGTTGACTGTTGATAGTTGGGATATTGTGGAGTGGGACTGCTCAAACTTTAATGTACGTAGGTATCACCTGGGATCCTGTTAAAATGTAGATGCTGACTCAGTTCATCTGGGGTATGTCACGGGACTGTGCATTTCTATTTAGTGGTGCTGATGCTGCTGGTTCACAGACCAACTTTGGGTAGCAAGGATGTAGAAAACCTCAATATCCCACACTGAGATTCTTTGTCTACAGTATACAAAGACTGATCTGGGTCACACCTTATGAAAACAAAAGTTCTCATAAAAAAAATATTTCCAAACTCCAGCTGATGTCCTAATGACCCTCAGGTCAAATGCAGCACAAAGAGAGGATGCAGACAATCTCTTGTCATGACCTCCACAGCTTACAGAAGCCCCCTAGCATCCTTCAATTAACTTAATCCCAAAGGAGTGACTGGAATCAATCATCTAGCAAATAATTTGGTGCTCAGAAGAGGATTGACAAATCAAATACAGTAAGAAGGACTAATATTTTACAAGCACATATAGCTCTATTACCTCATCTGACTTTTGCACCAGCCCTTTGGCAGAATAGGGAATCTTAAGGCCGGGAGAAGTCTGAAGACTTGCACAAGTAGCAAAGCCACTGATTGTGAAAGCTGAATCCCTTGGAGTCTGTTTTAGTCCACTTTGTGTTGCTATAACAGAAGTACCTGAGACTGGGTAATTTATAAGGAGAAGAGGTTTATTTGGCTTACGATTCTGGGACAGCTGTAGCTGGGCATGGGCCTCAGGCTACTTCTACTCATGGCGGAAAGTGGCAGGCAGTTGGCGNACCACCTATTTCACATTGGCTGATGGGAAACAATGGCCTTAACCAGAAATCCTCAGAGAAGTCGAGAGCAATTCACTTGTTCCCTGAAACAGCTGCTCCCAGAGTCAGCCAACAACCCACTTCCTAAAGTCAACAGTACACTAAGAATATGAAAATCAAAGTTTTCCAAGTGTACTTACAAATCTTGTGAGGTTTGACTCCTGTCTGGGGTGACTCTTCGCTGCTGGGCTTGAGGTTGCTGAGAAATGATTAAAGATGATTTATTGTCAGAAGGGGATACCTTGTGATGAAAGTCAAGAGGATGAGAAACAGTGCTGCAGTAATGAACAGATTTTTCGGCAATGTTTATGATCTCATTGCAAACTGCTTCCTGTGAGGTGGCCCCGAGATATCGAGAAACCCCCATAAAACAGTCAACATGGGGATAAAAAAAAAAAGAAAGAGGAAGAGATGTAACATTCCAGATGAAGCACATAAGTCCAGGGAGAAAACAGAGTTGAAGATCCAGGTTAAAAAAAATAGATATTCCAGTAGTGGAGTGCAGGAGAAATCCAGATGTAAGCATGGAAAAACAGGTAAGATACAGAAGAATTTGGGATTTAGTATGAATATTAAAAAACAAAAAACAAAAAACAAAAAACAGGCAGCAGCATAAAAGCCTGTAATTAGTAACTGTTACAAATGGAGTAATTTCAGGATAGGAATGCAAATATGTATCCCCCAATCATGCACTAATACATTAACTTAATCCCACATGTAGGCAGAGGAGTCTCTAAACTCCTCTGCTTTTTTTTTTTGATGGGGAGGAGTTGGCCTAACATCTCACTCTACTACAATAGACACAGAATTCTTGTAGATAATGGCTCTGTGAGTTAACCAGGCATTTCTCTACTCTAGACTCTAGAAGTCAGCAAGGATTCTCTTTAGAAAAGCTACGGTCTTATTCAACAGGCATCTTACCACATAGCTCTTTTCAGATTCTGTGAGATCAGGTCCTGCTCTCAATGAATGATGAGAAGGCTGTGATCACCAAGCAAATTATAAGGGAGACATTTTAGCAGATGTCACATTGGAAAGGATTCAAAATAAAAGCATGAGCAAATACACATACCACGCCATCACACTTGGCTGACACCGGATACTCGCAGGCTATGGCCCCGAGTTTCCACAACAACACGGTAAGTGCACAGGAGAAAATGCAAATGTAGTTAGAAGCAGCATCCAGACAATGAAATGGGTAGTTGGAAACATGGCTGCAGTGAGGTAAGAATGAAGAACACAAGTCCCCGGACCGGCAGGAGGGAGACACGGAAGGGCTGTCTCAAGGAACTGGCATGTCCCTTCACAAGCCACACATTGGTGCCCTCGCTCTCAGCAAGCCTCTAGAGAAGGGCTGCTGTACCAAAACCCAGTTTCCATTATTTTGTTGACTAGTTCATAAAACTATCAGGTCTGCCATGTTTCAATACATATAAAAACTGAAAAACAGTAACACTTTTGAAAACCTCCTTGGTAATATCTGAAGTATCAAACAAGACCTTTCCCCTGGAAAAATATGCACATGACATACTCCACTGAGTTATGAAATGAGTACAGATAGCTCCTAGGGCAGAACTTGCTTCCAGAGATAGGACTGTATGTCCTGATATGTGTAGAAATGAAACTGTCACTCTTCACTCACCAAGCCGGGTACCACACGCTGACACGAAAACACAGGTGCAAGCCTGGCCAGGCAGACCTGCGTTTCAAGCGGGGCTCCCATCTATAGAGGCCAGGCCTTCCTTGGAACTATTTCCCCCAGAAAGATTCCATTTTAAGCTCTAGGAAGTCCTTCTAAATACATATTTGAAGAGCCGTCCTTGGAGAAACCCTCCAGGTAACATGCAGTAATAGCAACAGGCCACAGCTACTCTCAAGCCTTCTAGAAGGGCACTTAAAAATCTTTTGTGTATAACCCATTTGTTTCCTAGAGAGGCCCAAAGAGAGTAAGGACCCCCCTCAGGTCACACAGCAAATTAGTGGTAGACTTGTCTCCTGGCTTCATCTGTGGTCCCATTTGACCTTGTCTTTCATCCTAAGACCACTTTGTCAAGTGTGCTCACTGACTTCTTCAATAAGTCCCACAGAAAACCTGGAGACAGGCCAAGCAGGGTTTGTCATCCTGTTTTCTTTAAAAACCCAGGAAGCAGATGCTCAGAGGGGTTTAGTGCATTCCCCAACATCACACAGCTAGCGAGAGGTAAGCTGATTAGCTGCTCTTCGTACTCTACCATGTCACCCCTCCTGTTCATCTCTACTGTACATGTCCCCATCCTTTAGTATGCACTGCAGGACCAATTTCCATCCAGGCATCACTTCTAAACTCCTGTCCTTTGGGGATGCCTCTTCGAGTTCTCCAAACCCCTTCAAACTGTAATCACTCAAACTAGCCTCCTTGGACTGTGACAGGAATAAAGGAAGAAGACCTGAGGGCCTTTTCATGCTCCTTTGACAATGTCTCAGGACCTTGGGCCTTTGCCAAGTGCCTGGGAGCTGACCATGGGGCTCCACTCACCACCCACCCAGTCTCTGGATCAAGGTTTCCACATAACAAAGGAAAGAAGTAGACATTTCCAAGCACCTGCTATATGGGGTTAAGAAGAATGAAACTTATTTTAGGCACCTTGAGTGGGTGAGAGCAGCAGGCAGATTTTGACTTGACAGAAGGAATCTTTCTAAAAGTGAGAGCTGCCTACCAATAGAAGGAGCTGCCTCAAGGGCCGGCCCGGTGGCGCACTCGGTAGAGAAAAAAAAAAAAAAAAGGAAAAAAAAAAAAAAAAAAAAAGAAGGAGCTGCCTCAAGAGGAAGTGAGTTGCTGGCTACAACAGCTGTTTAAGCTGAGGCTGCAGGTGACTGTTGATAGTTGGGATATTGTGGAGTGGGACTGCTCAAACTTTAATGTACGTAGGTATCACCTGGGATCCTGTTAAAATGTAGATGCTGACTCAGTTCATCTGGGGTATGTCACGGGACTCTGCATTTCTATTTAGTGGTGCTGATGCTGCTGGTTCACAGACCAACTTTGGGTAGCAAGGATGTAGAAAACCTCAATATCCCACACTGAGATTCTTTGTCTACAGTATACAAAGACTGATCTGGGTCACACCTTATGAAAACAAAAGTTCTCATAAAAAAAATATTTCCAAACTCCAGCTGATGTCCTAATGACCCTCAGGTCAAATGCAGCACAAAGAGAGGATGCAGACAATCTCTTGTCATGACCTCCACAGCTTACAGAAGCCCCCTAGCATCCTTCAATTAACTTAATCCCAAAGGAGTGACTGGAATCAATCATCTAGCAAATAATTTGGTGCTCAGAAGAGGATTGACAAATCAAATACAGTAAGAAGGACTAATATTTTACAAGCACATATAGCTCTATTACCTCATCTGACTTTTGCACCAGCCCTTTGGCAGAATAGGGAATCTTAAGGCCGGGAGAAGTCTGAAGACTTGCACAAGTAGCAAAGCCACTGATTGTGAAAGCTGAATCCCTTGGAGTCTGTTTTAGTCCACTTTGTGTTGCTATAACAGAAGTTACTCCAGGTGTTCAAAGACATTTCCTTAAGTGGAAGGTATGGTGTGCAGTAACAGATAGCAACCAATCATTAACCCAAGGAACCATATACTGGAAGGGATACTGATGGCCCAGCTAAAACCTTCCTTGGTGTCAGGCCATACCCAAAGCAAGGGATAATCATTATAGCCTTAACATCTGCATAGTACAAACTTAACCCCCTCCTGAGAAGTAGGGATGACTGGGTTCCTCACTTAGCATTCATTGAATAAATAAGGAAGAAGGCAAGATAAACATTTATCCTATTAGCTGAGATTCAATTTCTCCCTATTTAGATTTAAATGAAACATCTCATGTAACTGAAATGTAAACCAGGTTTTTTGGTTTTTTTGCAGGGAAGGGGGGCATGCCATGGAATGGCCCCTCAATGGAGATGGACACCACTAATAACCATCACAAGGATCAGCCTTTCACTTTGAATGTTGTTTACCTTTTTTTTTTTTTTTTTGCTTTTGGCATATTTTTTTTCCCAGCCCCATTTTCTATTCACTTTACAGCTTTATATAGCTCTTCCTCTAAACCTGTGCTGTCCAATATGATAGCCAGTAGCCACACGTAGCTTTGAAACTTGAGATGTGACTAGCATGAAATGAAATGGGCTATAAGCGTAAAAATGTACACTGGGTTTTGAAAACAGCACAAAATAAAGAACGTAAAATATCTCATTAATAATTTTTGAACATATTAAGTAATATATATTACTAAAATTAATTTCACCTGTTCCATTTTACTATGGCTACTAGAAAACTTTAAATTATATATACGGCTTATATTATATTTCTACTGGATAGTGCTGCTCTCAACCTTCCCCAGGTCCTCAAGATCTGCCCTTATTTAAGCCTAAGAGTAGACAAACGTTTTAACCAGGACCTCATCCAGGGTAAGAATAAAGGGAGTATTATCTCATGCTAACTACATTTTGGATTCTGGAGATGCATTCCAGCTTTTCACATGTTCAGAAAAACAACCACCAGCCTAGACCACGTGTGCTCACACACACACTGCACTCCCACCCTCCCCCATCAATAGAAAGCAGGTGCTAGTAGCTGATCCAGAAATTGCTTTCTTCTGTGTTTGTACACAAGTCACCCCTCCTGGCCAGGAGTGCTCGTTTCATCCTCCCCAAGTGAGAGTGTCCTTACTCTGTTGCCCTACCTTCAGTTCACAGAAGTCCCTCAGAAATCTTAGCTTCCCTGGAGCTGTTAATCCTTCTGGATCCACAAAACAGCTACGGTGAAGTTACTAAGCATCTCTTCCAGCTTTGGGTGTGTGCCAAAGCCTTGTAGCCCAAAATAAACACACACAGGAAGTCCTGGAGATGCGGACAGGACCAAGAAACACAACCTCTATATGGCCCAAATCCCCTCTAGAAATATCACGAATCTCTTCTGCCCTCCTAACTGCCTAAGGCTCTTAGAAATGGCATTTCTCCAGTCATCTCACACCCCATATGTTCTCAGACCCCACCCCACCTTTCAGGTCACCTATACTGGGCTTCCAGGGGGACAGGGAGAAAATCTGGGTTCCAAGCCAGGCTCTCACACTCATTGTCTTTTGAGCAAAATACTTAACTTCTTCAGACTTCAAATTGCCAGTATTTACTTCATTTTACAAATGAGAAAACAAGACCCGACATGTCTGCATTTGGGTCTTGGTTCCCCACCTCAAGTGCTGAGAGAATACCTGTTGGTTAATTTTTGTAAGAACTGCAGCCAGTATCTCTCCCCATCCTCCAAACCATTAAACACCCTCTGTATTTAGGGATTTCCCTTCTGAGTAAGTCAAAGGAAAACATTTCCCACGTTTGAGTACCTTAGCATTTTTAATTTCCTTTTTGTTCTCGCAAGTTGCATCACATGCCTTCCCTTCTATTTCTAATTTCCACCCTCAAGCAGGCCCGTGCTTTTGTTCTTATCTTTCTGGGAACTAACCTAGTTTCCATGTGGTGAGGACGTTCCCTCTGAAGTCACCAAAGCAGTCCTTTCTGTCTTCAGCTGTGTATCTTTCCCTTCTCTCCCTTCTCCAAGGCTGCAGTTTGTTCCTGTGCTTCTCAGACACTTTGAGAACTGTGTACTTTGAGCACACCTAGCTTTCCTATGTACCTTTATTTTACACTTCATGCCCTAGAGCTTTATTGTTTGTTTGGCTTCCTTCCCATTAGGAACCAAATTGACATCACAAAAGTTTGACACTTTCCTCAGGCCTCAGTTTTTTCATCTCACTGTGAAAGCGAGCTTTATTGTTTGTTTGGCTTCCTTCCCATTAGGAACCAAATTGACATCACAAAAGTTTGTCACTTTCCTCAGGCCTCAGTTTTTTCATCTCATTGTGAAAGTTGGATAGACTGGGGGCTCTTAACCTGGGCATTCACGGACTCCCAAGGAGCTCTCCGATGGATGCAGGTGTGAGTCTCTTAAAACTTTATGCAAAACTGTGCATTCCCCGAACTACCGGCCTAGAGTCCTCAGCTGACCTCAGATTCTCAAAGGTACTGTGACCTGGAAAAAGTTAGGAATCATTGGAGTGGATGATCTTTCGACTTCTTTTTAATTAAGAAATTCTACAAGGCTCTCTCACAAATTACAGAAACTCTTAAAAACCATGGCTGGATACCAGTTAGCAAATGATGCTCCTATCTTGGAGAAACTCAGTAAATACTTGATGATAATGGTGGAGACTTCCAAGATGATCTTCCCCTTTACTTTCTTGATTGATTGTTCTAAACCCTATTGGTCCAAATTACACCTAACAAAATACAAGAACTTAGTTGATAATTCTTAACTCTTGGGCATTTTATATGTGTTTGTGTGCATGTTTTTGTCCAATTAGTTAAGTTATCCCTCTAAAAACAAATGGAAAACTTTCACTTTTCGATTTTGAAGGTGTGCAGGTCTATAATAAACCTTCTCCTTGAAGTTTTGTATTTGTTCTTTCTCATTCAACTGAAATTCACACAGGACTTTTACCTCACCATAGAATATCAACACTAAAAAGAACTTTGGTTCTCTTGTTGGAATCTTTTGTTTATGGTGAGGAATATGCCAGGGAAGCAAAGTTACTCATACAAAAGCACTCAGGAGAGTAACAGCTGAGCTGGGGCTAGAACCCAGGTACCCGGACTTTCAATCCAGTGCTCTTCCTACCCCATCCCGGCTCCCCCTAAAGACCCCTGCACCTCATTTACCCCATTCTGCTATTCAGAGAAAACACAGGCCGAAAAACAGGAGCAACCAACCCGATATGAAACCAGTTTGGGAGGCTACAAAGGAATGAAACGTCAAACCATTTTAAAGGAAGTGTTCACACATCTGCAGAGTTGGAGGTGGGGGGCACATGACTAAAGAGAAGGAAAGCAGCAAAGCAGAGAATGACTTGCAAGGGTCACTGTCACTGTGAGGAAGGTGACTAGACATTGTTAGGAGGTGCTGAGAGTGTTAGAGGCACCAGTAAGCACCCTCTAAGCTGCCGGTCCCAGCCCCTTCTCCAGAATCTCCTCCTTCTATTCACCTGTGGATACCTGAAGCCTCACCCAAACCAGGAACCCACCACTGTCCACATTGACTAGACATTGTTAGGAGGTGCTGAGAGTGTTAGAGGCACCAGTAAGCACCCTCTAAGCTCCCGGTCCCAGCCCCTTCTCCAGAATCTCCTCCTTCTATTTACCTGTGGATACCTGAAGCCTCACCCAAACCAGGAACCCACCACTGTCCACACACACAGCTTTCATGTTCCCACCCCTGGGTCTTTGCCGAGGCTATACGCCTTGAATACCGCCCTCTTGCTGTACACCTACTGGAAAACTCCCTATTCTTTAAGGCCCAGATCAAATGCTAGTTCGTTCTGCAGGTAATCGCTTTCCCCCTCCCATTGCTTATTACTTCTCCTCATCTTGAACCTCCAGAGTGAACCATTTGTGACTCTCTTTCCTGTTTGCATTATAATTATTTGTAAACATGTCTCAGTCTCCCAATGGAGATCATAAACTCCTTCAGTAGAGGTCAGTTATTTTTTGTCTTTTCGTTCATTCAACACATATTTATTGAGTGCCTTCCCTGTATCAGGTGTCACAGTCCCTGACCTTAGGGTGCTAATGCCCTAATGGGGATGAAGGCAAGCTAAGAGGCAGATACAACAGGGCTAAGAAGTGCTCTCACAGGTCAGATGCAGGGGTGGGAACAGGCTGTCAGGAAAGGATCCTGGAAGAAGTAACATCCAAATGGAGAAGTAAGGGATAGGTGGGAATTGTCCAGGCAAACAAGCAGGGGAGCCTTTGGAAATAAGGCTGGCTTCTTGTGTGATGGCCGGATCACACGGGGCCTTCTAACCCAGTGAGGGAGGGAGATTTTCCCAAGAACAACAGAAGTCCTGATGAGTTCATCCCTCTTCACCTCCTGCAACACTTAATACAGTACCTGGAACATCCCATATGCTTGAAAGAAAGAGTAAATGTTTCAGAACGCCTTTTCATTGAAGGCTCTCAGGTAATATCTCTTCTATATATTGGTCAGACATTCAACCCAGCTGCCCAACAACTACAATAAAATTGAACTTTTTGTTCAGCTCTTGGTTCAGCAAGGTGAATAATGTTGACAATTTTTTTTATTCACAAACTGGTCTCAAATGCATTTACCCAAATAAGTGACAGCCTGAGATCATGTCCTCCTGATGGGGCCCCAGAAGACAGTTGTTATTAAAAGTCCTTTCCATTTTTAGCTTGTCTGACAACCTAAGAGGGCATAAGAGGCAGGAGCCCCTTACGATGAACCCCATTTCCAGAGCTGCCACAGAAGGGGAAAGTGAGGGGGGTGGAATGGGGGTGCGTGGGCAGCAGCCTTGTTCATACAACCCCCAGCTCTCAACAGTGAGTGAGCCCAGGGCCCAAGGCCTGGGCACACCCATGGAGAAGGGACTTGTGCCAGGAGAGCAAGGAGGAAGGAAGAGGACAGGAAGTGGTATTCTTAGGGCCTGGAGGCCCACCAAAAAAGGAAAACCAATTTTCAACAAGCCTGGCTTTCCAATCAATGTCATCTCTGGTGTTGTTAGCTACTCCACTCCTATCCTCTGTTAGGAGGCAGGAGGTGTATACCATTAACCTCATGCAGAACTCTGGCAGCGTGCGCACTTCCTGCACCCTGGATCCTGGAATCAGGCTGCAATGATGACTCACTACTAACAATAAGGAGGTCTCCAGGCACCTTGGGTTATCTTAGAATGTTTACAGAATTGCTCCTATGACAGACACATTTAGTTCTTTTCAACTGGCCACTTCACCACCTCTTCCAAGCATCTGCTCTTTCCTTAACCAGACACACCCTTTTCTTTCTCAGAACACATATTCTAGGAGCACCTGTTCCAGGAATGGGCAAACCCTGTCAGGATCGCTGCTTTCCCATAGACTGACGCTATTTGGTTGGGCAACAATCCACAACAGCAGCAGCAGGAAGCCCCCTTTTTATGGAGCCTCACCATATGCCAAGCCCCACACTACGTTCATTACCAAATTTAATCCTTACAACTACCCCACAAGGGAGGGACTGTTTCCACTGCTGCTTACCACATGAGAGAACCATGGCTCCAGAACATTAAGAGGTTGATAGCGAGAGGCTAAGCCTGATTTCGTATAAACTACCCCGCACTGCGCTTACCCTCAGTGATTCCCGCTCCTGACACGCTGGCCTGTGGACCCACATGCATTAGGCCAGCACAGCTGGAGGTCTGACCCAGCATGTCTCAGGGCTCTGTGCTCCTGTGGCCTCCAAGCACACCTCTATTACTGCCCTGTTTGCTCTGCTATGTCTGGAGCACCATAGGCTCCTGAAGATCAGGGATCAACAACCCCTACACCCTGCCCAGATTGAGCAGTTTATTGTGGGTGTTGTACACAGCAAGTACTTAATTAACGGACTGGAGACACCTTCAGGAATCCCATCTGGTTCTAGATTGTTCTCAGTTCTAGATGTAGTTGGATCACCAAGCTACACCCTGCCCAGATTGAGCAGTTTATTGTGGGTGTTGTACACAGCAAGTACTTAATTAATGGACTGGAGACACCTTCAGGAATCCCATCTGGTTCTAGATTGTTCTCAGTTCTAGATGTAGTTGGATCACCAAGTGATGGCTCCACGGCTTCCCTTTACAAAGTGCTGATCATGTTTGCAGCCCTGGTGCTTAGAGTTTCACACACATTATTTCAAGGAATTTTTGCAACCACTCTATGAGGTAGGTGTTATCTCCATTATGAGGAAACTGAGTCTCAGAGAGGGGAAGTAATTACCAAGGCACTAGATGGTAAGAGGTCGAGCTGGCATTCAAACCTGGCTACTCTGGAGAACTTGACCAAAGTCTCTGACTTTCATAGCATATCTAGAATCATGATCTTACTGCCAAGTTCATTTCCTCTCAAAAATTTTCAGCCCTCAAAACACCCTAAGGCCACCTTGGTCCAAACCTGAAATCTTTGTAGCTAACCCAAAAAGGAGATAGGACAGTCACCCAAAACCCTGGCATGCCCACTCTATGATCGCAAGCCTGTCAGGGCCCCAGTGGGGTCTGCATGCTCCTCCCTACAAACAAAATGCCTCTGTTGTGAACAGTCATCCCACACTCTCACACAAACACAAGACAGGACAAAGACCTGATAGAACTGAGCACTAGCAAAGCGCCATGGGTTACAGAAACAAAGTGTGTCTCACATAAAACCACAGCACAGCACAGCACAGCACAGCCGGGTGTTCTCAGCTGTGTTAGTCAGAGCCAATCCAGGATAATCTCCGAGGCACAAGTGGGACACGATGGGTTACAGAAACAAAGTGTGTCTCACATAAAACCACAGCACAGCACAGCACAGCACAGCACAGCCGGGTGTTCTCAGCTGTGTTAGTCAGAGCCAATCCAGGATAATCTCCGAGGCACAAGTGGGACACGAGAAAGGCCTGCCTTCTCATGGGCTTTTGGACCAGGACAGGAGGTACCCAACATGAGGATAACTTCTGAATTGCCTCAACAGGCCAGGAGACAGCCTGACCTTTCCTCCAACCGTCCCCAGCTCTGACACCTTAATCAATGTCCCCTCCATTCCCTCTTGGGCCATCTCTTTGCTCCCAAGGCAAGCAAATGGGCCTCACCAGCATCCCCTCGGCCTCGGTAGATGGACCATGGTAAGACGCTGGCCCACCCTGCCAAGGGAGACGCCCCAGGCACACGCGGCATGCTGCAGCCTACCTGGCTCCCATCTCTCTGAGCAGCTCTCTTCTCAGCCTGCTCGCCACCTCTAGGTCGCTCTGTCTGCTCAGCCTCCCTTCCTGGAAAAAGGCTACCCAGGGCCTTGCTGGGTCGGCTCTCCTTGGGGGTGTTGAGATCTGAGAGTCTCTGTTCAGTACTCAGGCACCTGACCACGTCTGAAGGTTTCAAGCAGCTCTTCTTAGAGATCTTGGGTCCACCAGGGCATCTCTCACCTGCCTCCCTCTCTGCTTTCCTCTCATACCGTTGGCTCTCTTCTCGCCATGGCCGCCTTTTGCTCTGGTTGCTAAAGGCATCACTAAGCTCTGAGATGACCCTGTCAGAGCTCCCCAGCAGTGGCTGGGAGACGCTATCCTGGTGAGTGCCTGAAGGTAGCATGTGGATACCACTGTCTCCATTGACATGAAGGGGGGCTTGGACACCGGGTGTCGGGGAGTAGGCTTTACTGGGAGGAGGCAGGGCCCGTGGGGAAACCGCTGATCGTGGGATGGAATAATCTAACCAACTCAAATGAGGGAGGCTGAAGGACATGGAGGGGCTTCCCCTCGACAACAAAGAGAGGTGGTCAATGTTGTAGATGGAAGCCTCTGGAAGAGGAGGCAAGGGTGGAGTCAGGGCCAGAGGACGCCTGCCTGGGACCCCTACGGTAAGTGAGATCCACTCGGAGGTGATGGCCTGCATCTCAGGGGACAGGGCTCGGCGGGGGTGGGGCAGAGATGATGGGGCTGGAGTAATGAGCTTACTGTGACTGGGACACTTAAAAAGAAAAGGAGAGGAAAACAAAAGAAAGAAGCAGAAGGTACAACTGTCAGCATAAAGGAGAAAGAAGGAAAATAATCACAAGGGTATATAAAGAGGAATGAAATGGAGAGGATGAGCAGGACACTCTGGTGTCCAAAAGGGAAATCACTTGGTGAGGTTGGGAGAGAAACTGGGATGTGCATGAGTATGTGCAGGCAGGGGGTGGAAGGGAGAGGCAAGTGGTATGGAGACAGGAGAGAGGTTCCCATCATAGTAGTTACAGAGGGCGCTGGCCCGATTTGCAGAATCAAATTTTCCAAGGAACACACTGGCAGCTCCTCACTGCAACCCACTCAGTCACCTCTGCAACCAGAGCCCTGACCCAGAGCATGGGGGAGAAAATGCAGCCCACCACTACTCTGGCCCTTCCTTGGGCCTTTATTCTCTCTAGGGGGTTCAGCAGGGTCTTCCGGAGAGGAGCATCAGTGACGTAGTTATTTCGTTTTACAATCGCTCTTGGCTACAGTCAAGTGAAAATGCTAGTTGAGTCCCCATATTCTTCCAAAGCAGAATGCCCGGCTCCAATCTCACACCCTCTCTCCATGAAATGACAGGATGTGGATCTCACTGTGTAAGCAGCTCTGGGTCAACCCATCCACTGCTTTCTGCCAAGAACCCTCTGCTGGGATCAGTGACAAGCAGGTGGGAGAGGAAGAAACGATGAGGAGAGAGAAGAGGCACCACCTCAGTGTCATCTGGGTCCTGCTCTCATCCCTCTGGCTATCATCCCCACAACCTACATGGTGGTACAGTCAGTTTATTTCACAGGATGTCACCCCATCATGCCTCTCCTGAACCCAAGGCTCTGCTTTTTTCTTGGCTTTGGGAAAGTGGAGATGGGTTTGGAACGAGTTATGGTTTTAAACAAGTTTGTTCATAATTAATGTCTGGAAAAGCAAACATCTTATTATGCCTATAAACCTACTTCCTTTCATCCCAGTGTAGACTAAGATGCTGTAAGTTCTTTTTCTAACCTGGTTCTAGTAGCTGCTTGCAAAGAATACTTTGGATCTGGTATACATGTCTGAGGATGTGAACACGAAATTCTCTCTTTCAACCTCTGCCTTATTCTGCAGGCCAATCTTCACTAATAAGATGACTAAGACACTGGGCCAGGGGATTTATGACACAGTGGTGGTACTCACATGACCAGCTTCACCCACGATGAACCAGCTGATAGAGGCTCTTGTTTCTTTTGCCCTACTCATTTTATCCCCAGAGCAACTACTTTAAATGTTGCCTTTTTCCCTGACATAATATTTCTCCCACAAAGTGCTGGAAAAATTCCATTTGTATGCATGAAAACAAACTCCAATGTACAGTCAGAATTGCTACAGTCACTTCTTAATCTCAGTGCTTAAGAACTTCCCCAAAAGGTGCACCATTAGCACTGCTGAGTAAGAAAACTTACAAACTGAGTATGAAAAACAGAGACGAGAAGCTTAGATACCTGTGGGCTCACAGTGGCACTACGACTCGGGGAGGAGGAGAAAGGCAGGTCGATGTAATCCACGGGGTTTTTCACCAGTGGCCGTTTGATCACATCCACGTAGGTGATGGGGAAGATGCCTTGTCGGGATGTCCCTGGGATCCTCCCTTCGTACCAGTTCTCATCTACCTGTCGAAGCAGTGTGATCCTCTCGCCCTGCAAGACACAGCAAGGCAAAGTTCCTTGTCCCACTGTGCCTCAGAACATCTGAGGCTCCTACCTGCACCCTGCACTGTCCTGCATTACTTATCACATCCTTTGCTCAGGAGACATCTTCCCTGCTGGACCTGCATGGAATTAACATCGCTGGGATGGGGATGCTAACAGCAGTAGAGCTACCTGGATGCTGGGAAGTTAAGCTCAGTCTTAAAATATTTCAGTAAAGGAGAAGATCACATTCATGCTCCCAATCTGGAAGGCAAATATAGTGTTTTGACTTTATACAAAATAGACAAGTGTCCAATCTTCATCCCTAAGGCGAAGGTTTTGGGGTGTTATCTTTTTTTCTTTCTTTTTATAACTTTATTTTTCATGTATCAGTACAGAAAAATTAGAATGCAAATAAATATAAAGCAAAAATTAATCATCGCCCATCATACCATCACTTGGGGATAATCACTGTCAATATTTTGACATATGTACTTCCCAGATTTAATTCTATGCATATGAATTAGACTTGCATATATTTTTTTCTTATAAAAATTGAATATGCATGGTATTTCTCTTTTCCAACTTTTTTTTTTAAAAGAAACCTCCTTCTTTATCAAGAAATACAATTCTACATTTTTAACAGTGTTGCAAAGCTTAAGGGACCACTGCAGGGTATTCTACTGTACACACATATAATGATTTCATTACTGATCCCCAGCTGTTGGGCAATTAGGTTGCTTCCAGTGTTTTTCTTTTACATAAAGTGGCTCATCTTTTTCCAAGGCATGTGCTCACTTCTCTCAATCCCTCCAAAAAATCAGTAACTTCAATAACTTTAGTAGGCCAGAGAATTTTGACATGTAGAGTGTTTGAATTCCTGGGAAGAAGAGTTTCTCTGCACAGTGAAACTGTTTTCCAAATAAGCATTCTGAGTCCTCAAAGGCAATAATGATGATAATACTACTACTGGCATCTCCTGTTTACTAAGCACCAACCAGATGCCACGTGTCATGCTGAGGTGAGGGCTTCACATATGTTGTTTCATTTAAGCCTCTTACAATCACCCTAGGAGAGTGCTATTTATCTTCATTTTTTTTTTTAATGAGAAAATGGTGGCTCAGAAAAAGTATTTAACTCCCTACAAGCTGCACAGCTGATAACCTGTGACTTTGGGCTTCAAAGCTTTCCAAATTTCTCCTTGTACCAATGGGGTTGTATTTTCCACTAGGCCGGATCAATATATTGTAAAACCTAGTCACCAACACAGTGCTTATCTTATTGTTAAGTGTTCTTCACTAAATGTTGAATATGGTTTATAAAAAATCTCTAAGACTCCAGAAATAGTGACTTTACCACTAGGCCGGATCAATATATTGTAAAACCTAGTCACCAACACAGTGCTTATCTTATTGTTGTGTTCTTCACTAAATGTTGAATATGGTTTATAAAAAATCTCTAAGACTCCAGAAATAGTGACTTTTATCAGTGAACTCAATGGCTTATTTTAGAAATAAATTAACCTAGCGTTTATTTTTTAAAATACCTCACCTCAGAAAATTCTCCAGTTGCCTTTAAGGCCACTCTTCATCTCATCTCTTAAGGATACAAACGGCACCCCCAATCTGCACTGCATAGCAACACCACATTTGTCATGATAACAGCGCCACCCAGGAGAACCCCAAAGCATGGGATGAGAAGGGCTGCTTACCTTTCTGAAGGACATTTCTACTTGTGTATCACCATTAAAGTTAAACTTAGCAATAGCTTCTCCACATTCCAAAACCTGCACTGGTGTCAACTTTTTGGGCTGAGCCTTCTCAGCTGGAGGAAGAAGCTGAGAAAGGAAAAAGAGGCAAAAGAGAAAAGGAAAAGAGAAGAAAGTAGGGAAATAAGAGGAAAAGGGGGAAACAAAACACAAGTATTCAGCAAATAAAAGGTGCTTTGGGCATGACTGGGCTTTTCCTTAGAAAGAAAAGAGGCTGCGGTACCTCGATGTAGGTGCGTGGGAAGATTCCCACCCGGCCGTGGTGTTCTCCTTCATACCAGTTCTGATCAATCTGCTTATAAATGTAAACAATATCTCCCTTCTGCAGAGGAAGCTCCCTGTCGATAGAGGGTCATGGCATTTTAGCAGATGTTTCAATATGTATGAGATTAAGACACTTCAGTTTTTTAGCAAAATGACTTCAAGTTGGGCCAAAGGGGACAAATTGCAGACGAGAGGGCTCCATATTTGGAAGTGAGAATCCCACCATTCAGGAAATCACATCACATTTGGCATTTTTCCAGTTCTTTGTGGGATGCATGTTAACATTCAAACCAACTAGCACTTGAAAGTGCTCAAAGGCCTTATTAGTTTGTTGTGGTTTTCTCAATGCATTTTTTGTGAATGCTGTCTTATGCTCAGAATATTTACACAACACACAGCGATGCACTCAGCAGTCTTAACTAATACCTATCAAATGATGAAACATGTCTCCTGGATACCTTCACTGTCTTTACTACCCTTTTCATGCCACAGGCAAGGCAGGCCTTCATTGCTTTAAATTACCCTTAAGTTATTTGTGATATATTGATACCCTATCATTCCACCCATTTAGCCATCTGTCCACTCACCCATTTTACCATCCATCCATCTATCATCATGTAGTCGAAAGGCTCTGAAGTTAGGCAGATTTGAAGTTAGGCACATTTTGAAGTTAGGCAGTTCTACAACTTACTAACTCTGGGACTGGGGCAAGATACTTAATCTCTGAGACCGTGTTTTCTTATCTGAACATAGAAGCTAACTCAGAGTTGTTGGATAATACAGCAACAAACTACAAATAAAACTCTTAGAACAGTGCCTGTTGGGGCCGGCCCGGTGGCGCACTGCTACAGTGTGCTGCTTGGGAGCGTGGCGGCGCTCCCGCCGAGGGTTCGGATCCCACATACAGACCGGCCGCTCACTGGCTGAGCGAGGTGCGGGTGCAACACCGAGGGTTGCGATCCCATTGCCGGTCCCAGTCCGGTACGGGCGCGACACTGAGGGTTGTGATCCGTCGCCGGTCACGAAAAAAGACAAAAAAAGGAAAAAAAAAAAGAACAGTGTCTGTTATATAGTTAACACTCAATAAATGTTAATTCCCTTCCTTTTCAACATGAAAAATGGATCTTGGAAAGAAAAGTGGATTTTCCTTCAAATACTCTGTACCTTTTCTCAACTTTTCCACATCCATCCCTTTGCCTGCCTCAATAATGTTGTTGTTAACATCTAATCAGGACTCCCTTACTTTAAAAAAAAAAAAAAAAGAGAGAGAGAGAGAGAAAAGTGTATTCAGAGTTTGTTTTGATACTTCCATTGTTAATGACTTTTGTACCTTTAGATGTGGCAGTGTTGCATGTCGGCATCATCTGTCACATGGAAGAGCTCTCTTTAGCACTTTATAGAGTGAGTCTGGTGTGATGAATTCTCTCAGCCTTTGTTTGTCTTAGGAAAGTATTTTCTCTTTCCATGTTTGAAGGATACCTTTCTTGGGTACAGTATCTCCTTGGAAAGACTTTTTTTTTTTTACACTTTACTACTACACCATCACTGATTTTTCATCCTTTCTTCTGTGCCTATACATATTAATAACTTTTGTCTTTTTCCGTGTCTGGCAACGGATCGCAACCCTCAGTGTTGCCCCCGTACCGGACCAGGGACCGGCAATGGGATTGCAACCCTCGGTGTTGCCCCCGCGCCTTGCTCAGCCAGTGAGCGGGAACCGGTCCGCATGTGGGATCTGAACCCTCGGGCGGGAGCGCCGCCACGCTTCCCAAGCGGCGCACTATCCAGTGCGCCACCGGGCCAGCCCATCTCTGGCCATATTTTTGCCATAGCCCTCCTTGGGGGTGTTCTGAACTCCCCTGTCTACCCTAACCATGTGCTCACATAGATGAACAACACCCTCAGCATACCCCCCCCACCCGGAGACCTGCAGGCTCCTAACTCTGCTCACCTAAGTGTCTCACAGCTGTGGAGGTGGCGGAGCTGTAACAGTTCCACTATTAAGCAGAGGAGGAGGATAACTTGTGCGCAAGAGGTCTGCAGTTGTGGCAGTGGAGATACACAAGGTGCCTGGGGCTGCCATCCTTCCTCTACCGTGGACTACACTCCCTGCTCCCCAAAAAACCCATGTGACCAGGTCTAGTGGGGAGAAGGTTTGGGAAAAAATAGCATGATGCACTTTAGATCTTTTCTGGAGTGTCACTGCACACAGTAACATGGCAGAGGCTCTAAGGCAGCTAGGGGAAAGGAAAGCTGCTTAACTTTGTGGAACCAAGTGTTCCCATAGCACACTTTTTTGAATAACATACTATGGGGAAATGTAGAACTAAGTGACTGAAGGGCTCTATGGATCTAGACTTTACAACTTTTCCTAAGTTTTATTGACTTTTTTTTTTTCTGGCAGGCAGCATGTTATGACGACAACACTGAGTTAGGAGGGAGGAATCCTCTCCCCAGCATTAGCAATGTTGATAAGTGGTGACAATTTCTGTGGATCTCAGCTATCTCACCTGTTCTATTTGACAGGGTTACACCGAATAAAAAATTGTTTTAAGACTTGTTTATGAAATCTAGGAAAATGTAATATTATCATCACTATAGCATTCAATGACTCTTACACGAACCTTTCTCAACTCAAGGAAAAAAGGAAAGAAGGTATCTATCTGATTAAACTGCAACTTAATTTATGTATTTCTGTTATTTTCTCTCTGGTTAAAAAAAGGGGGGAGGAGGGATAACATATTTTCAGTACTGACTTTTGCTACACTGGGCAAAATGTTTTACAGAGGTTCCCCTGTCTTCCCTGCAAGACAGGCATTCTTATCCCCATCTTACAGATGAAGAAAATTTAGGGTGGGAGAGGTTGATAACTTGATTACATTCTGAGACAATAAGTCGCGTGGTCAGGATTTGAACCCAGGACTCCATGGCTTTCAAGCCTAGTCTTTGCATTATATTACAGCAGCCACCTCCTTTGGCTGATGAACTAAAGGACTGGAGTAATACAGACAAACCCAATGGCACCAGATTCATGCCTACATTCTGGAAACTGTGACTTGGTCATTTTGTGTCAGAGATCAAAACCACGTCTGATTAGTTCCACACAGCATTTCATAGCTTCCAAGGCTGGGGAGCTCTCTCTCTTATCATCAGATGTGGGCCTCCCATCCGTAGGACAATAGGATGGCTGCTGGTTATTGTATTTTCAGCTGCCAAGGAAAACTCACTGTTCACTTTAACCTACAATAAGACATAAAGCTAGCAGGTTCCTTTTGGAACCCAGCCTTTGGTAGTATTTCTCAAATTGTGTTCCATGGAAAATATAAAGGTTTCTTAGTCATCTAAATTTAGAAAACACGGGGCTAAATAAGCTAGTCAGGTTTCTTCACTGAAAGACTTCCAGAGCCATTAATATGCCAAAAGCAAAGTATCTCTTTGGTGGGTGGGGGGTGGTAAGAGGTACAGACTTAGTATGCAATAGCTCCCTAACTCATTTCTATAACAGAACCCTCTTTTTGAGAAATATTTTACAGGGCTAGCACTCTGAGGAACATCACTTAGAGAGAAGCTAGTCTCCTATGGGTTCCCACAAGCCTTTAATCTCTCACGATGTTGTAACAGAACTGCTAAAGTAATCTTCCTGAAGACTGGTTTGCCACCACTTAACCAGGCAAATTCAGTCCCTATATAGGGGATAGAGAGAAGCTAGTCTCCTATGGGTTCCCACAAGCCTTTAATCTCTCACGATGTTGTAACAAAACTGCTAAAGTAATCTTCCTGAAGACTGGTTTGCCACCACTTAACCAGGCAAATTCAGTCCCTATATAGGGGAAAGCAGGGTGGCACTGCGCATAAAAGCCCAGCTCTGGTGCTAGGCTGCCTGGGTTCGAATCCCAACTCCATCGTTTACCAGCTTGGGCAAGTTCTTTAACCTCGCAGTCCCTTGGTTTCCTCACTTGTACAATGGGGATAAGGGCAGTATCCACCTCAGAGGGCCACAGTGAGGACTGAATGAGCTAACATATGCAAAGTACTCAGAATGGTGTGCTTGACACACAGCAAACTCTAAACGTTGTTGTTATTTTATCATTGTTGTCATCTCTCCAACTCTTCTCTATAACTATGGTGTTTCAAGAGGCAGCTGAGAAGACAAATAAATATGACTGCTGGCACTTACTTTAGTGTCTGAGCTTTGAAGTCAAATTTGGCTCTGGCAGGTCTCATCTAAACACAAGAAACAATGACAAGTTAAAAATCACCATGCACGTAAATTGAAAAGGACACATTTTCACAAGTTTCTGTAAAGCAAAGCAGAAAAATTCACTTTAACCAGTTCGTTCTAGTGTAGAAATCTGGGCAATATTCTAGTTGTCTGTCCATAGTAGAATACTAAATGGATGTTTAGTCAACTACATTATGCATGAGAAACCCCTTAAGGAGGGCCAAATGTCTCAAAGCTGAAGTGCTAGTTCTCCAAAACACATTGACCACGGCTATTAAAAACGAGTCAACCAGAAGTTCTAAGATGTTCCTTATCTACTATCTTACTTTTTGGGGAACATCTTCTAGTAACCTGACTTAAAGTGTGACCTGCAAGTAGATGACACTGATTCTCCTCTCACATCACCTTCAACTCCATAGACTTATCATCTGTGAGATCATCCAGCAAGCCAGATAAAGCAAGCCCTGAGCTCACTCTCCTTGTGCCGAGACTGGGACTTGTGTCCTGCTGGGACAGCCCTCTCCTCTCAGATGCCCAGGCATGGCAGTCAGCCTCAGCCCCACCTCCACATTCTCATCAAGTCTGTCAGCATGTCATTCCACCCTGCCCCCAGGCCTTCCCTCCACAACCCCAGCTGCTCAGGTCTAACCTCCAGTTCCCACAGGCACAAGGCTCCCTTTGACTTCACGTTTTCTTCACTCTAATCTACTGTCACCCAGGAGCACAAATGACATTCCTCAAATTCTTCCTCACCTCACTTCCTTGCTTTGAAGTTAGTTGTGGCTCTCTACTCCTCCTTAGATCAAATCTCAATTCCTGTTGTGGGCTAAGGCCTTTGGATAATGTCTCCCCACTCTTACCTAACTGCCTTTATCTAATTACACTCTTCCTGTTCCAGCCAGGCAAATCTATTTGCTATACTTTAGCTAAACTGCCTTCTCTAGCTGGAATTTCTTTAGCTCCAATTCTAATAGGAAGTTCACCTTTACTTATATTTATCTGCATATCTTTCTTCCCCACCTTTAAATGTAGTTACTTTGGGCCGGCCCGTGGCTCACTCGGGAGAGTGTGGTGCTGATAACACTGAGGCCGCGGGTTCAGATCCCATATAGGGACGGCTGGTTAGCTCAATGAGAGAGCGTGGTGCTAACAACACCAAGTCAAGGGTTAAGATCCCCTTACTGGTCATCTTTAAAAAAAAAAAAAGATAAATGTAGTTACTTTAACCAATTTTTACAAAGAAAGGTGGGGGGGAGCAGGGAGGGTAGAAATCATGTGAACAAACTGCTTTTGGCTGACAGTATAATTCTGCTCCCAGCCATGAGCAGCTCCAACTTTTTCAACTGCTATGACCTCCAGGTCTAGGGAAACAATGTGTTGAAAGTGAAACTACACACGTCCTCTTCAATATTAGAAGCCACGAACAAGGTGGAGGGAAAAAATCGGAGACTCTAGGTAAGAAACTACTAGTATTTAAAAACTTCACCAAGCTAAGTCTGAGATTTTATTCCCTCAGTGATATGCCCTGTATTTCCAGGCTCCTCAAGCTGGGGGCTTGTAGAGATCTTCTTAGAGGGTCATAAATTCTCTATGGGAATTCTCTAATGCTGCATATTCATTTTGATGTTTCCATCTATCTACCTATACACCTACAAATTAGGGGTCAACTGAATAAAGGGTCAAGTTAATGCCATACAATTTCAATGCCTGCATTTGTGTCTGTCTGTAACCAAAGAGCAAAATTTACCAGTTGTAGGTAAACAAGAAAAAACAGATGTGGGGTTATTGATAAATGTCAAGTTCACAAAGACAAATGATCAAAACCATAAGGACAAAATTTCACAGTGATTCCAACAGAAAAAAGTGGAGGGAGAATTAGGTCACCCCATGTCACCCAGCTGTGGAGCTGTGTGAACTTTAAAAGAATTCATACCAAAGCAGCACCACAGTCACAGTTTGAATGGTGACTGAATTCTGTCAAACAGAATTTAGTGATTAAACTAATACAAGTATATAGGTGTGCAGTTTACTGTTTAATTTGTACATTGCCTTCGGTAAATAACGGGGGCTGGTGAGATTTTTCTTTTTCCATTAAAGGTTCTCAAGGTTGAGAAATACTGAGTCATTGACGGTTATTCAAAGCAGCAGCATCCCCCTCTTTATGTTCCATAGCTCTGAGACCAAATCCATCTCTCCCTCCTCTGGCTCTCACAGCACTGTGTTCCTTACTACAGGACAGGTAACTGTATGTGAGGGAGGATCTTCCACTACCAGCTCCCTGAGGGCACAGGCTGAGTGTGTCTGCCTCCCACAGGGTCTTACATAGAATTAGTGGTCACCCAAGCTCTACTGATTGGGACTGAAGTACACCTACACAGCAGGATGCACCTGGGACTTGCTGGTCTCTACTTTCTCAAGTCCATTAGTCAACTTCTAGGGCAGTGATTCTGAAAATGCGGTTCTTGAACTGGCATCAATATCACCTAGTATTTTAACAAGGCCTCCAGGAGATTCTGACACATAATCAAGTTTGAGAACTTCTGCTCCAGGAGGGAGGCGGGGTTCATTAGACAGAGTTTGCCTGCTTCTGTCCATGGTTAATCCACCTGAGCTGCATTTCCACCTGCGTGTATTATCTATACATGTTAAGTGTGCAGCCCTAGGGTGCCTTTGCACGTTCCCATCTTCTCCATCACTCACAAGCAGGGAGGCCTGTAAATCGGGATAAACCCTCACCAGAGTCTTCAGAACAGAGCCATTTTGAGGAGGAGCTGGAACACGGAGGGCCAAGGGACTGTCCTATCCTTGCAACTGAGTAACACTTGCTACCTTTGCTTCTTCCCTGTTACATTTTCTTTTTTCTCCATCACTTTAGAGTCTCCTTCCCCTCTCCAGCTTTTTAAAAAAAAAAAGATGAGTAGCAATGCCTCTATCGGTCAAAAGATAAAAACATGAGCATTAATCTACTATACTGAAAGGTTATAAAACTGCATATGATTTGGGTGTCATTCCCAATTCCCCTACCCCCACCCCAAGCCTCAAACACACATAGTTCCCCAAAAGCAGACAGTCTTCAGCAGGGTTACTTAAGGCTTACGTGGAAAAGCACAAACTCTTACACAAGATGCTGCATTTGTCTAGCACAAAAATCTCAATATGTTGACCTCAGTGCAGAAGGCCAAAGCCTGGATAAAATCACTTAAAAGGTTTGTTCTTCATTTTATAATATCAAGCTTTTGTAATCTAAGCTTAGAAATGTCAGAATTAAGGGAACAGATGGAACATCTCTAAGAGAGCTCTCTAAACCCTCTATGGGTTTATCCTAACAGCAAGTCTTTAGGTTTCAAAATTTTTCAGTGAGCTGCTTTATACTACAGAACACTTTCTACAATTAATCCATCTGCACATGAGCTGAGGTATTTATCCTGTTACTTTAGTGTTAACGTCACTAAATTTTGGGGCCTTTGTAAATGGCATAAAGTATCACTAGCTGACTAGCTAATGTGTAATATGTTTCATTAGCCATCTCTTCCAGGAAGAATGTTATCATTGCCCATATCTAGCTACCAATGCATATGGACTAAGGCATAAGGTTTCTAAGCAGAATGCACGGGCAACACAGTGTCATGATAAAATGCAGGATGCAAAGGAGTGGACTTATGACACAGCCGATGCTCTAAAGCATGCATTGGGGGTATGCACCAGCAAATCCCGATCCCACAGCCAGGCATGCTTGAACATACAGTGCACAGGACACAGTGGGATCATGTACATTCACCAGCCACAAAGGAGCCAAAGCAAGCCTAAGGGAAGCCAGGATGACAGATGCCTATGTGGAGAACTAAATTGGCCTAGAGAGGGCAATGCTGAAGCGAGCAAGTATCGCTTTGGGTCAAGCAGCAGATGGAGGCGACCAAAACAGACCTCTGACCCAGCTTTCCTTTTTGCGGTATCGTCTATATTGAGGAGGTCCCCAAAGCGCTCATTAGTGATAAACTGATGGTGCGTCGGAATGACGCCCGTGTGGCGTCGAGCTGCAATATCGGCCTCCTCTTGCTCGCGCTTAAGTCGTCTCTGGTCCGCTAAAAGTTTCTGCCATGAAATTGCACAAAACGGGCAGTGAATCATCTGGTGCAGGGTACTGGAAAACTGCCAACAAAAGCAACTAAGGAAGAGGTGCTGGGGGAACAGGGAGGAGACTTGAAGGGTCAGATTTCGGAGGGGTTTTATGGCCACGATTACCACATTCCCATTGTACCCACCCTCTGCACACCCTGTGTAGGAAGGAGACAGCACTGCACAGGAGAAACCTGGGGAAAGCTGGGGTATGGGGAAGGAAAATGCCATACGATTACACTGTCCAGCAAACTATCCCCTGGCTCAGCTGAAATCCTCCTGACTCCTGGCAGCAAAGGCCAGGCAAGTCCAGGGGCACAACCAGGGCATTTCCCAAGCATTCTGGGCTGGCAGTGGGAGGCTGGTCGTGCTCTCTCTACCTTGGTGAGGCAGTGATAGGGTCCCCATGGAGTGGACTAGGGCTGGATGCCCTCATCAGGCCTATTAAACCTGCTACTAGCTTTGACTACATGGGGTCTATGGCGACTAGATCTTTCATGCTTCCTATGCCTGTCACTCTAATATGCTCTCCCAAGAGCAAAGCTGTCCATTTCAGAGAATATGGCACCCCAACTCTTCCCCTGGGCGCAATTTTTTAGGAGGCTTAGGATATGTACCAAAGGCTATTTGTGTGGCTGACAAGAAAACATCAGTTACTTTCTTATTGAACTGTTTCTTCATTAGATAAAACGAAGCTGAGTTTAAGGGAATGATATAGAATATATAGAATATATAGAATATAAACCAAAGAATAATGGTACCTGGGGTTAGAAGAAATATTCTCTCCTATGTTAAGGAAATAGTTATGTACTTCTATTTCTAAAGGGCTTTTAAAATAATAAAACAATGTTGCTTTTCACCACATGACCTCAATGCCTATTGAAATGACCCTATGGAAGTGTTTTGTTATACCATATCAGTCTTACATTCCTTGGATTAATGTTCCTTGTAGGACAGCATAATTAGAACTGATCATTCTTAGCATACTCAACAAAACATTAGTCTTCTTCCAGAAAGCAATTATATGCCACCAGTGACCACAAGCCCCAAAAGATGGTGGGCCTACAAATAAAGTGACAACTCATCAAATGGTTGTGAGATCTCCAGTGTTCAGGTAAGTTGTTGTAAAGACTAAATGAGGAAAGACATGAGAAAGTTTTTGGCAAACCACAGTACCATGGAAAGAGCACTGGCACAGGAATCTGGAACCATTGTTTTTAGCTCTGCCCCCGGTGTACATTAACTTACTATGTGGCCTGGGCAAACCACTACATTGCTGTGGTCCTTTCCTGGATCAAACAAGGGGTTTGGCTAGATGGCCACTAATGTCCCTTCCAAGACTAACATGTTCTCATTTTCTGAAATGCTATTATCATCAATATTAATAATAAAGCATCTGCATAGAAAAGTATCAGACTGATGCCCCATGGGCTGGGAAATGTGAGTTATTTCTGTAGCAATGAGAATGGATTGGTGCTTGAGGCTGGCACAGCTTGCTCAATACCACCAGTGTTCTGGCCAGGCTTAAACAATCGGCAGAAGTGGACACAGAATGGAGAAAAGCTCCCAACCCAGCAAATGCATCAGGCCCATAGTTTAACCACGTAAGTCAAAAACCATGGATAAAGACACAAAACTTAAGGATCTGTGAGCCAGTGTTATTCAGGAAACAAACTGCCCACCTTCTGTATGCAACTTTTAATATAGCAATTGCTAAACCAAGGAAGTAAAATATGCCCCTCATGTGGTAGGCAAGAATTCTACCACAAAACCTTCCATGTTGGACACGAGGGTTTACATTACCGAAATGGAAATTCATCTTCCTTCATCATAGTAGCCAAGGTCCACATACAAGGGTACATCAAAAAGTGCATGGAAAAATAGAATTAAAAAATAATACGAATCTCTCCATAAACTTTTTAAAGTACCCTGTCTTCCTTCATCATAGTAGCCAAGGTCCACATACAAGGGTACATCAAAAAGTGCATGGAAAAACAGAATTAAAAAATAATACGAATCTCTCCATAAACTTTTTAAAGTACCCTGTACAAGAGAATCTTGTATCCTGGTGATAGGAAATATTTAACAAGGAGCTATAAGAATGAATCTGTTCTATGGCCTATGGACACTCATCGTGAGTGAGTTAGGTCTCATTATTGCAAATAATTCTGTGCATCAAATACTTCCTCCTGTTTCTTTCCACGGACAGGTGCAAGTGTCTTACTGAATATGGTTTGATCATGCCTGGAGACAGGGAGAGGTATGGTTTTCTTTTTGGTCTTCTGTCTCACCATCTGGCAACAATGACTATTACTGTCCAACTCTTCTCAAAGTCAGCCTTAACCCTAAATCCTTACGGAAACTCCACTTAACCTTGGAAACAACTCAACAAGAAACAACATAGGAAAAGAGCTTCAGACTTTAAAGAGAACAGGACAGCGTTGGGCACACAGGAACACCCTCCCCCAATGGCACCAGTTGAAAGCAATTCTTCCATCTCTTAATTCATTACAGAAAAATAGGCATCAGAGCTTGTTTGATCTATAGGACCCTTTTTCTTGGGAATGTGAAGCCCAGAAAGCATGTACTATAACATCACTTTATCACAGCAAAAGCGATTTTTGCCCATTTGGATGATATGTAGAATGACCTCTTCCTATACTGCTCAGAGAATGGGCTCTTTTTCAGGCCCCTGCCAGTCCTATCACTAAGGACAGACATTTCATTAGCTGCAAGAAAATATCCACACTCTGAAGTTCCTGGCTGGAGTATCTTATTGGAATATCTTACTTCTTCTGAGTTCAAGGTAACTTCCTCAAATTGTTTTATAAAATGTGTCATGGTCATTATTTTTCATTTTTCCCTTTCTCCTACTGCTGCATCCTTCCCAATTTGAGCTATGCTTTGTGCCAACAGAGGCATGAGCAGGATTGGAGAAATATATGGGTGGATTTCTTTAGAGACTATCAAGGGGGGTGGGGGGTGGGGGGCTGGAGAGGGGATGAAAGAGCAAACTCTGGTTTCCAGCTTATGAATCATTAAATGCAGTAGCAGGAAACCTCTTTCTGTACCTCCCATGCAGCTGGGCTGGAAAGACTTGGCATTTATAACCTAGTGCCTGTGGGCAAATCAGTTATACTTTTTGGACAAGTAACTAAAAGAAGAGTGATTGAATCTATGTCATATAAAAAGTCACTTGTGCAAACCCCAATCTTTGTTTCCCACTGCTAGACCATGCCACCTCCCTGACAGATGTCTAAAATGTTTACTCCCTTCATACACTTCTCTGTACAAGAGCTAAGACATTTAAAAGATGGGATTTACCTCTTTATCATCATGACGTCTCCGGATGAATTCTTCTGTGGATTCCAAGTAATCAGCTGGTATAAAATGTCTTGGTGATTCTGAATCTTCAAAACAATAAAGCAGAGTTAAAACAGGCAAAGATTCAGTGAGAAACCAGGTTGGGAAAAGATTTCACCTATCATCTATGAGAAATATCATATCAAGTTTTTACAGTTATTGTAAATTAATAATCAATAATCACATCCAGAAGGAAAAAACAAACAAACAAATCCCGCCTCCCCCCCTTGCTTATTGGATTTACTTATGAACTAGTTTAAAACAAAGAAAAGTAACCAGAATGCAAAAAGTGAGCAAAAAGAGAACTTTCTTTGAAAGGTATCCCCACAAAGAGGCATGCAGGATCTCAGAGCGACACACTGCACACTCTCTCTCTCTCTCAGTTTAAAACAAAGAAAAGTAACCAGAATGCAAAAAGTGAGCAAAAAGAGAACTTTCTTTGATAGGTATCCCCACAAAGAGGCATGCAGGATCTCAGAGCGACACACTGCACACTCTCTCTCTCTCTCTCTCACACACACACACACGGCCACTGGGAGAGGCTGCCTCTCAAAAACCACAGGTGCATCCAGACTGGTGCAACAGCAAGAGGTTCAAGAGTTCAAATGAACACATTTCTCAGATGAGCTAAACGGCCAATTTTTCTTTCAAAACACAGTTTGGTGATTAGTCTAAATGGTATGGGGGCTTTGTTTTTAAAGAAGTGCAGCCACTAGGAGCCATGATTAATTGCCAAGCAAAACAAACAGAAAACAAAGACAGACCAAAAAATGAGCACCAGGGGCACATGGGAGTGGGGACAAAGCAAGCAGAGGAGAGGCAGGGAGGTGAGACTGGCCAGACACACAAGACGCCACCTCCGCGTGATGGCACCCGTTCACTTTGTGGGTTGTTGTTCCTGTCCAGGTCATGGTCTGAGTATGGCACAGAGTTCTCATTATTAACGGCCCTTGGGCAATCCTCCGGGCCCATGTGTCTCCCTTGAAGAGAATCTGAGCTGCGGCTAAGCCTGGCCATGGTGTGTCGGGAAGACAGGCGTGTGGGAACCAGGGGCTTCCCCCCAGAGAGGGGCTGGTCCTGATGGGGCTGACTGGGGAGGTCTGGCTTCTGGCCCATGGGGAGGCCTGAGCAGTCACCAGGGGGAGACTGCCGGGTATAGTGTTGGAGGGGCTTTTTCAACCGAAAAGGGAGGGGACTCATTAGGTAGATGTTCCTGAGGAGGGTGCTCTTGTCCCCTCTGGACTCTGGGCGCCACTCGGGCTGTCTCGAAGTCTGCTGCTCATGCTTCCGAATGGTGGTAAAGCGTGTGTACGAGGCTGGGCAGGTGCCCTTACACTTGTTGAGGCGATGTTTGGGGAAGTCCCCATGAACACTGCTGCCACCGCCCTCTCTGCTGTCATTGGACACGTTCGAACAGTGGTCTAGCTCATCAGAGCAGGTGGAGAGGGGCTCAGAAGGCACAAGGCCTCTGAAGCCCAAGGTGTGGTCTGCCATATTGCTACACGTTGGGGAGGCGTAGACCCTGCTGGAGCTCATCCCATCCACCTCCCTGGGATGGAGCTTGGTTGACTCAAGGAGGGATTCAGCTGAGCGGGCTGAGGTCAGGCAACTCTGGGACAGCACAGGTGTGGGGGACTTGCTCAGCCTGCCGGATAGGTCCAGGGACGGCATGGACCGGGACCGCTGAATCAGCTGCTCAAAAGCGGTGATGCGGGAGGAGACAGTGTGCTTGGGGATGTGCTCTGAGCCCTCCTGGCTGGGGCCCAGCTCGGCCCTGGCCAATGCCAGGCTGCTCCTCTCAAAGTGGGAGGCAAGATCCCGCACACTGGAGGAGGAGATGGATCCCAGAAAGAGGCCAGCTCGGTTGATCTGGTGCATGTCCCGGTAGAACATGGTAAACTGCATACCAGCTTTTCTCAAGAGAGGGCAGGGCCTCCTGGTGCTGGTGCCATACTCCTGGAGGCTCATGGTGCTGCTCGACTTGCTGTCATAATCCCGCCGGGAGCGCATGAGCAGGTTTTCAATGCTCCCCCCCACTTGGAGGGGGAGTCCTCTTTTAGAATCATTCAGAGAAACTGAAACACAAAGGTTCTCATAGCTCTGAGCCTTCTCTGAGGGCAACAGGACACTCTTCTGTTCCTGAAAAAGAGCACTGGGAGCAGAGAGCCTGGGTTTGAATTTGGAAGGAAGGATTTCTGAAATGCAGGCTTTCGCAGCTGACAGGGGCTTCTTGTGCTTACACACAGGGCCTAACGCATTGCTAGTGTTAAACATTCGGCTATGAACCGAAGATGAAGAAATCATGTGAGCATTCCCACCTTTACGATCCACTGGTAAGCATGCAGAATAAAATAAACAGACCCATTAGGTTAAAGCTGAAAGCTGCTAAAAAATAAAAGGAGAGGTAACATGCTCATTTGTCATAAGGGCTCTTAAAAATTTTCCAGTCGATGTCCGGAAGCAAAATAATCTGTGCTGCAAAGCAGGTGCAAAGATGCAATGAAAAAAATGGCCACCCTGCTAGAGTTAGGAGAGGCTAAAGCTCAGCTAATTTCTAAAAAAAAAGGAATTAGAACAAAAAAGAGAGAAAGATGCTTCAAGGAGAGAAAGGGTGGGGGTTCAAAGGGAGGGAAACTATTAACACCAGAAAGAAAAATGGCCGGTGAGAAAACAGGGGAGGGGCCTTAGAGGGTTCCAAGGCCTGGACATGGCCCTGAACAAGGCAGAACTTATCCCAGTTGCTGGAGCTTCACCCACTGCCAACATTCAGTTAACTGGTGTGTATGGGAGACAGGAGGCCTACAGGCTTCACCCAGTTAATTACCTTTAGTGGAAGCTGAGCTGGAGGGTCGCTTGAGCCCACTCAGGCCCTGAAGAGGGATGTCACCACCTTCCAAGACACTTTTATAAATTTGCCTCTCATTCTCCAAGCTAGTGAGATCCCCAGGAGCCCCATCTGATTCCCTCTTCACTGCATGGAAGTTGGAAGAATATACACTATCAACGAGGTAATTTTAAAAGAGAAGAGGGAGGGAAAAAAGATAAGAATAGAAGTTAGCATTTCTTAGCATTTTTCAAAAAAAACACATTACCTAATGAGGATGGGAAACATACCTCCTAGCATCCTAATCAAGCACTATCCTTTCTAAGCATTCCTATTTAGACACACATTTCTACAAATAAGACAGGCCCATGGACCCTGAATGCTCAGAAATCTCATCCAAACAGCAATGTATTCTAGTTAGGATGACTGCATCTGTGATTTAAAAGAATAAAACACTTCCTAGGAAAGGAGGGCAGGGGGGAGGAGGAACCAAGTGGCCACACACAAGATGGTGTAGTCGAGAACATAAATGGAGCCTCTGACATGTGCCCAGCCAATGTTGGCTGTTTCAAGTCCACTACTTGGATTATTTTCCTGGGTTATCCTTCATAAGCGCTTTGGCTGCTTGAATATTAAAATCAGCAATGAAAGGAAGCAGCCCAACTGTCTTGGTTCTCCAGGAAAATCAACAACCAAGTGAAATTGGAACCTGAGATTCTCAGTGATCTTATCACAGCCAAATTTTGCACTCACTTCTTTCAAGTTTGTGTTCAGAACCTTATGACATGTATTATGAGCATAAACTACTGCTCATTTAAATCCTTCATTTATTTTTATCTTGTTAAAATCTAGGTATTTTTGCAAGTTACCACAAATCCTTTTTGGAATGAGGTGGGGCACAGAAAAAAATTAAGCGTATTTACTCTCTCAGCCCTTCCCTTCCCCTGAGCCCACTTCTCCATGCCTGCACCCACAGACACATGCGCATGCACACACACGCTCTCTGCCTGGATAAGTGAACGATTCCTTACCCACAAAAGTACTGTACACAGGATTCTGTTAGGCTGCCTTTAATTCTACTGAATTAAGTTTACCAGTATGAATACAGATTTTTCAGCTGAAGATCTGCACTTGCTTCACCACCCTCTAGCCATCTAGCTTTCCCTCTACCTATCCATCAATGATGGCATTTTTTACACTCCATAAAGCTGGCCTTTCCTTCTGTGCACAGCCCCTGCCTGAGTCCCATGGTCACAGACAATCATGGCAATAACTACTCTACACACCACTGGGCAAGACATCCTATATGGGAGGCACTGTGCTAAGTCCTGATGATCATTCTCTCTTTAATCCTCACCGACAATCCCACTTCTGTCATTTTTCAGATGAGGAAATGAGGCACAGAGAGATTTGGTATAACTTGTCAAAGCAGAATGGCAGAGCTAGAGCTTGAACCTCCGGTCACGTCCATCACAGGCGCTGCCACTTAACTGAGCCCTCACCAGCGGCCCACCACTGGCTAAGGGCTTTACACGCTCTATTTAAGGGGACCTAGCGGGGGGGGGGGGGGGGGGGGGGGGTATTGGAGAAGGGGCAAGGCTCTCCCAGGTACCTCATACTCTGTGGCCTCGGTGAGGGGACCAAATGCTTCCCCCCTTTCCTCAGCCCAGACAGAAAAACATTACTGGGGATCTCTCAACGCTGAAAACATAAGAGCACGCAAATGAAGTGAGAGCAGTTTCCAGGTGTGTGCCTCATGGCGAGAAACCTCCGGGAGGCGTGAGATGGTGCCAGCTTCTTTCCCCCAGACCACGCCCTTATCTGCCCACTAGACTTTGGGTCCTTAAGTACATTCAATAAAGATTTGTTGAATGAATAAAAGGTCCTATTTCCTAAGAGTAAAATTAGCATACACGATCTAATTAAGAATGTTTTGATTTGTGAAATTGTTATTAGAAATTCTTCCACAAATATAAGAATATAAAATTTACTTCAGGCTAGCTCCTGACATCAGCAATGTCACACACGGTGATTAAATGAAAGGTTGCATCTTCTGAAAGTAAAATTGGCATACATGATGGCGTATCACCACAGTGGTGGAAAGAGTAAGACTGCAGGGAATTGGGACAACCCAGGCTTCCGCGGGCTCCTCGCCACTGCCTGAAGGTACCACTCCTACCCCCAGAGATAAAGGTTTGGCTTTCCCCGGCTCAGGGGCCAGGCGGAGGGACGTGGGCTGTCACCAAATGCATCTTTTGCCTGCCCACTTCTACCTGCAGGGGGCGCTCGCAGACATAGTCCCAGGTTTTGATTGATAAAAGCTGTCAATTCCTGCTAGAGAGCTGGGGAACCCCTGTAGGTGGCTTGCAAGCCTGTGGCACTATATGCCAACATAAGTAAATATAAGCCCATCTAAGCGGGCTTTAACTTTGAATTTCCCAATTAAAAATGCATCTGTCCCTTTTCTAAATTTCCTACTCATGGTCCATCTTCTTCCCTTTGGTTGTATTTTCTGATTTTGCCCTTCAGTTTAACCTCATGTTTCTCTTTTGTGTAACCCCAACTACAAAAAGATCCATGTACACAGTACCCAACTTAGGAGGGTTTGACCTACAATTTTTCAACTCTGCGATACGTTTATCAAGATGTAACCCCATCGTAAGTTGAAGAGCATCTGTATAGATGTCCTTTATCCTTGCTGACCAACAGCTGTGGTGACTGAGGTTCATTTTGTGAAGGGATGGCCTCTAAAGCCCCACCCGCCTTGGTTTGGGGCTACCACACCTCCCTGGGCCCTGGAGAGCGTTACATTATAATAGATTTGGTCTGAGGCTGCCTCCATACTAAGAGTACATTCTTATAAAAAGTAAATGAGTCTCAGCCAATTATAGCAGCTGAGCCAATCACAGGCTGCCAACTAATCAGACCACGTCCATATGAGGCAAAAGCCTCATCACACCTTGCAAGAATAAGGCAAATTCTGAGCTGTCACCAGTCAAGCTGTTTCTGTACATCACCTCATTTTTCTGTCTATAAATACTGCCTGCCCAGTTGCTGGGTGGATACCTCTGAACCTCTCCTGGTTCTGAGGGCCACCCAACTCATGAATCCTTCTTTGCACAAATAAACTCTGCTAAATTTAATTTGACTAAGGTTTTTCTCTTAAGAGTGACTTTCACAGCAGCTTCCATCCTGCTGCTCCTGCTGCCACTGAATTGCCTCAGCCTTGGTCAGAACTTCCAACTATCTTCCCAAGTTCCTCTTAACTTTGTTCTGTCATGACTCTTGGTCATCAGTGGCTGCCTGACCTCACACTTGCTCTGTTTCACCTGCTGTCAGGACTCACCCCACCCTAGCCACCCCACGCTCTGGCTTTTTTCCACCCATTATCACCACGTTTTCCTGCTTCCCACCAAGACAACAAACCAGCACTCAGGAAACCTCTCAGAATGAATTTGCTACAGCCAATTGTTTTCTTTCTGATACCAAAGCTAACAAAACATGCTTTTTCCAGATGTGTAGCATTTTGTAACTAAGGCGCTCCTTGTTTAAAAACTACTATCCAAGAGCTTTAGAACAATGTTTTTAAACGTATCATCTCCATCGGCTCTTCATTTGTCCCACTATACAAAAGGAGAAACTGAGGACCAGTGTTGAAGGCATTCACCAAGGTGACAGAGTCATTGGGTCCTTTCTGTGTCCAAGTAGATTAGAGAGAATGAGAGAAGAAGCCATACTCCCAGTTGATTGAGAAAGGTCCAATCAGGATTAGGAACTACTGATTACTTAACAAGTTAAACTCAAAAGCTCAGCTCTGAGTAGCCTGGATTGAGCCAGATTTTAGATCAGAAAGAACAAGCCAAGAGAATTCAGCCTCTGGCTAAGATGCGGAGCTGGCTGCTGAGTTTCAAGAGGATTCAACAAAAACACACTCACTGGAGGAATAAAGTGAGAGAACAGGGCAATCATCGTTGGGCCAAGTGTTTCCAACTGTGCTAACAGGCTGGCTCTGGAGGCAGTGGACAGGGTTCTGGAAGGCTGGGATTCCAGCCCAACTCCAACGAGGAATGTGGATCACCTGAAGCAAACCTGCTGTTTAATAACTTGCAAACCAGGCTGGCTCTGGAGGCAGTGGACAGGGTTCTGGAAGGCTGGGATTCCAGCCCAACTCCAAAGAGGAATGTGGATCACCTGAAGCAAACCTGCTGTTTAATAACTTGCAGACCAGTCTGTTTCTCTCAGCCTCAGTTTCTTTCATCTGTAAAACTAATAGGCATGGTAAGAATGTCCAAGAAATCCACCTGCAAATTTATACAGACCTTTCTTTTAAGCTCCAGACACATGCATACATTCAACTGCCTTCTAGACCTCTCTACCTTGATGTTCCTCAGGCATCTTAAACCCAATATCTCCCAAACCAAACCCAGCTCTGTTCCTCCACCTCTAATCACCTACGCCAGAAAGCCCAGGGGATCAGTTCCCTCCCTCTCCTTGCTCCTCAATACCTAATCAGTCACCAGGCCCTTCTTCTTCCCTGTCCTTGATACAGCTCTTATCAGTCCCTTCACTCTCTACTTCCTTGGTCACTGCCTCACCACCACTCACCTACAACCCTGCGACAAACACACCATCACTCCCCCAGCCTCCAGTTCTGACTCCCTCCAATAATCTCTGCAAATCACTGCTGGTGACATTTCTAGAAAAGATCTCATCATATCAATCCACTGCTCATTTATTTGGTCAACAAATATTAACTGAGCACCTACTAAGCATCAATCACTCTCCCAGGTGGAGATTCAACAGGGAACTGAACACAAAAAATTCTAGCCTCACGGAGATTATATTCACTGTTCAAACCCATTTGATGATTTCAGGAAGGAAAAAAAGTAACTGTGGTTAACTGACTTTGGGGGAGGGAGTCTAGACAATCCTCTAGATGTTTCATCATTCGTACTGCATGAAAAAATTATTTTTATGTACATATAATGTCATTGTTATTCACATTTTATTTGCAGCTCCTCTATAAAGCTTCCTTGACCTTTCCTCCTCCACGAAGCAAGAGATGCTCACTCCCTCCGGGTCCCATCATTGCAGTTACCACACTGGATTCTGGTTATTTACAAGTCTGTTTCTCCTGTTACCCTCTGAACCCCTTGAAGGCAGGCAGTTTATC